CGGTCGGTGGCAATCTCAAATTCTCAATTAGGTACCTGGAATATGTAGGTGAATTATAGCAACTATTTACCAGCGAAAATTAACCACGTTATTGGTAATTTGGTGTGTAAGCACAGCACGTATGGTAGCTAACAATTCAGGGGCGCGGGAACTACTTTCCGACTGGGGGGGGGGGGGGCACACCATAATAGAGATTAACCTAGGGTACCCCCAAATAGGTATAGTTTTCTCACCGGTTTTGAGCCACTTATTTTTCACCCCTCGGCTTTTTCAACAAAAAAGAAAACATTTGCAAAAAAAGTGTGGTATTCCGTCTCAAAGCTGTGGGGGCATCGCCCCAACGGCCCCAGAGTTGGGGGGCAGGCTGCCCCCACTGCCCCCCCCCCCCCGGCTCCCGCGCCTAACATTTCGCAAGCAGCATTACGATCCACTGCGTAGTGCGTAGCATACATAATCCGTCTCAAGTAAAATGAAACACGTCTGGGTGCGAATTGCGCTGTCATTACTCGTTTGCTCATAACATCGTTCACATGCACGGGTGACGGGAGGGACGCTACACAGCATGTCTCAGAAATCAGAGCATACCTAATCTAAGAAGTGACAGAGAAGTTGATGTCTCATTGAGCATAATAGTTTGGGACAGTAGGTAAGGAGATGAGCTGAGATAAGCTGGTATGTAAATGGACTGTGCAAAAGCATCGGGAAAGAGTGCGCGCGCTTGGGGTGAGAAACGCACCTACCCAGTTACGAATAAGTGTGTGCACGGGAGGGGGTGAGTGTTAATTGGGGAACGAGGGGTGCCGCAAAAGGGGTAAGTGCTAGTGGGTGGGGAGACGTATGATTGCCTTGGGAGGGACAAGTGTTGGCGAGGGAGTGCCGTGGGAGGGGGCGGGGCACCAGACCGTGTGGGGGCGGGGACAGGGACGGGGCGGGGCGGGGCGGGAGCGGGGTCTGCCAGACGGCGCGGGTCATTACTCGCGGTATGCGCCGGCCGGACCGAGACGATGCCGGGCCGGACCGTGACTGACGATTGACGGACCGCGCCGGAAGCGACGGCCGACACACAGCTCTGCCCCAGTGACGTCACGGCCGCTGTCCGTCACCGTCCGACGGCGTCTGCCGGCGCGGCACTGACCGATTCTGATGGAGCCCCGGCCCGGTCAGACTAATTCGATGTCAGTGACCTGAGTTAACCCGCGCCCCGTAGGGCTATCGGCGGACCCTACCACCCGTAGGGAGGGGGGGGGGGCGTTTCGGCCCCCCCTAAGATCTCGGAAATTTACGGAAATTTACGATAGCCCCACCGGGGAACTACCTTGTGACCAAATTTCATTGACCTAGGTCAAACCGATGACGTCACAGGTCAGGTCAAAGGTCGGATTTTCACCGTTCACAAGCATTTCAAGAAATGTGTTGCGAAATCGAGTAAATTGGTAAGTTATTGAAAACCATCGATGGTACATTGTTCGTCAAACACATACTTCGCTATCTGAGGTCACTGATACCAGGTCAGGTCACAGAGGTCAGGTCACTGGGGGTCACAATATGAAAGTGTCGTGTGATGCATGTTTTATGGTCCATTTTACATGACAAATGCGATTATGTGGGTCAGGCAGCCTTTGGAGCCAGCTTAGGTCACGTTTTGGTGAAGGTCAGGTCAAGGTCAGGTCAAATTAGGTCAAATTTCAAAGTTGATATTTTTGCATAAAATGGGTATCGATTCGGCGCAGCTCGTCACAGGGAGTCTAATGGTGGTCTTTGTTTTGCTCTACGTGGTCTAGAATTGCCAAAAAATTGAGTTTGAAAATTTGACATCATTTTTGAACAGTTTTTTCGCTATAACTTGGCCAAAAAACAAGACATTGATCTGAAATTTGGTATGTCGATAGAAGACGGTAGGTACTATTACATAGGTATATTCCGGTTTTTCGAAACTCAAAAAACTTTTTGGATTTTTTGGCAATTATAACCAAAAAAATGCTTTTTTATTTTTAGGGATCAATACTCATAAATTTCAAAAATCCGAGATAGCAGTTTTGTAGCCCTGTCAATTCTACACCTTTTATGTATTGATCATTTTTCTGTATCTTCAAAGATGTAGGCCTGACAGCTCTTCTCGCGAAGGTCTTTTTTCGGTCGAAAATGGCAGAACATGACGTCATTCTGACGTCATTTGTGGCCAACCTATCATAGCCTCTGGAAATTTTTTTGGTCATAATATGTAAAATTGATGTCCAGAGGGGTCCTGAAAGTTTGGTGGCGATATCTTTAGCCGTTTAGGAGATATTGACGGAAAAGTACAGGGGGGGCCGTTTCGCCCCCCCCCCCCTACGGGGCACGGGTTTTAACCAGCGCATGACTGGGAGGGCTCCAGAGACCAGAAACACTATCCTATTTTTGTGCAATGTATTGTACCTAAACCACTCAACAGTTCAAGTCTGGCAGCCTTAAAAATAGCAACTATATAGTCGCTTTTCCATTATATCCCAAAAGTTTCACGTCAACCGACTGCAGTGGTTCCGCATGAATTTCAGCTTTATCACACGCAATGGTCGTGTCAGTTGTGGAGCCCAAAAAAAACGGCCTTCAGTCGATTTCGGACCAACCGCTTATTGCACGACGTGAATGCTGACGCTTTGCAGGAAGCGGCGACGACAGACTAAAATCGGCTATCATCAACTTCGAAATTATGACCAAAATATTTCAGTCATGCTGGTCAACCAAGCCGTTGCACCGGATTTGCCTGCGTAATACTATGTGTTCAAGTCATAATCCTCATGATTGAAGACTAATGATCGTTGAGCAGCTATGCAACTCGCCTCCCGCGGCTCAGGGCCATTCAACGATAAGCAGAACGCGGCATTGTAAAGGTCACCAAACACAATCACCAAGTATTTTGATTCTTTTCCGTTCGATAAAATGAGGCTGCTATATAGTTGCTACAACACGTCACAAGCCAAATGTTCACGGTTTCGACATAATATATTGGCGAACAGAACGTGACTTGTTAGCTAGAAAAACTGACATCACCGAGAGCATTAGCAATGGAGCTTTGTCGTTTGTTTTGGGAGAGACCTAAGAATGGCGGAACCAGGGGTGCGGAGCCGGAGCCGGAGCTGGAGCCGGAGCCGCCGGAGCCGGCATATTTTGCCCGGAGCCGGAGCCGTGAAACAATATAGCCCGGAGCCGGAGCCGGAGCCGGAGCCGTCAAAAAAGGGGGCGACTCCGGCTCCTTTTTGAAGAGGAAAACAATTATTGACCTAGTTCGGTTTGACGGTACAAGACAGTAAAACATGTGGTATTCATAATGGTCTTGTTATGCACATACAGAAGCAACGTGCACCAATCGAATCGCCTTTTTCTTCCACCCGTATTTAATTAATCGCATAGGATATGTACTGACTACTGAGTAGGAGCCGGAGCCGCGGAGCCGGAGCCGCCGGAGCCGGAGCCGCCGGAGCCGGACCATTTCACTCGGAGCCGGAGCTGGAGCCGGAGCCGCCATGACATTTCACCCGAAGCCGGAGCCGGAGCCGGAGCCGATTTTTTTCTCCGGAGCCGGAGCCGGAGCCGGAGCCGTCTGAAATTTTCACGGCTCCGCATCCCTGGGCGGAACCATACTCCCTCGTTGCCGTATACCGTCGTCACCGTGCCATCATACCACGAATTCATCACCTGGTATTGACACAATCGTGGTCAGTCAACGCCAGCGCCCAGCATCGCCTTTGCGGTGCAGGTTTTATTAACGTTTTTCCTTCTATTTAACGAATATTCGTCCACTTTGTATGCTATCACTATGCGCAGCAATAAAGGTAGTGTACCTGTTTCTTTTAGCAACACAGATGTGACCATAGCGTGCACAGCACGGTCGTTCACTATGAATGCGACATTCCCAGCCATATCATTCACTAGTGCATGCCATGTGCGAAAATTAGCCTTACAATTGCAGAGCTCGTGCCAATGAAAGCCGTTTAGCCGGCCCCACTCGGCATTACGTTCAGCTTCTACGTCCATGCCGCAAACAGCAAACCTAATTTACGCCCATTACCAACAATAAAAAGGTTTCCGAGTTACAAAGGGCGCGCGGCCCTGCGCCGCGTACAAAGGTCGTCTGGTCCTTTGTAGGCGGCCGTTTTTGCTGTGTGGCCAGTGTGCCACAGCCAGCGCCCATTGTGGTGCGCCCTGGCGTACTGTGGGTGATACGGCCTCAATGATAGCCGGCCAGAGCGCGGGTCACTGCGCCACCACTGTGCCCCAGGGCCTGGCAACGACCCGACACGACCCGCTCGTATAGCCGCCGGACGGCGCCCCCTGAACCCGACTTTTCCGCTCGGCCGCCGCCGCCCTCTGCCAAAACGCGCTGTGCTGATACCGCCTGTGCGACTGTTTTAGCTGGTCAGTCCATGTAACGTGTCAATGATGGATGACGGAATGTGTAAAGCGTTACTTCATGTCCGTTCATTTGCTAATGGGCTGGCTGAATGTATGGAACTCGGGCGAGCGCGGGTTACGCTGACGAGCGTCCAAAACAGCAGTGGGAACGGGAAGCGTCCGCAGCTGCATTTGTCATACATTTGTCAGCGGCTCGGCATTTCTCTGTCCGTTTTACATCAGCTGACCTTGCATTTCTGAACATCTACCGAGGCTGTAAACGGGTTTACGGTGCGTGCCTTTTAGGTTTACGTGTCATGAATATTTCGAATGGAAAGTAAACCGAACTTCACAAGGCTGCCAAATTAAATCTGTATGCCCTACTCGTACTAATTTACCTCTGGTAAGGGGGGTGCCGGTCGATAGCTACCTTTGTTTCCGCCGGCATAAGTTATTGCGTGGTGATGGGGGAGCTTTAGGGTTCAACAGAATGTCTGAACATAGTTGTTTGCTTGGACGATGGGTCATATGGGACACCTTAGACCTGATTCACCTGCAATAGTGCAAACGACGACGTCTTTCTACGACCTTCTCACATCTTTAGCTGAGCAGAAAAAAAACATCCTCCAATACTCGCCAATACACACAAGCAAACCTGTTACGGCCCGCGTGGATGTCGGTTTATTCCCGAGGCAGGCAGTGAAGAGACAGCGGCGCACGACCCCCTTAATCTCCCCCCCCCCCCCAGCAGAAACAGCACTCTCGCATCCCTGTCACTCTCCCATCGTTGGCCGTTAAGATCGCTCAACGCTTAATCGATGACTCATACCGCTGCCTTGGCTTCAGGATGTCCATCAGGAGACGACGCTCTTACAGGAAGAAGACACAATGAGCCATCCAAAGGTCAAGGCTAGCGGCTCAGAGCGGTCTGTTGACATTACCGCACTGAGTTGGTGCTACGCTAGGCGATACAGAGGTGCGATGCTAACACTACATGAAGCGACAGATAGATCTAGCGAAGGCACTGTAGGATGAGACTGAACATGACGGGACGAACAGACATATAGACGGGACAGGGCCTCGTTTCATAAAGCGAGTCCGTAACTTACGCGGGTTTTTGGTCTTGTATTGCAAGTGCATGTGAAGCGATGACGATAGTTTGAATCGATGAATTTATTTATCTTGCAAGCAAGAACAGAAGGGAGAAGGGAAAATAAATTTATCGCTTCACGTGCGCTTGCAATACAAGCCCAAAAACCGGCGTAAGTTACGGACTCGCTTTATGAAACGAGGCCCTGGTCGTCTGTTGGCTGGAAGTCCTTAGTCGGTACATGTAGCGATCGACGATGCTACGCTACCGTCTCCTCTCGCGGTAGAATGCCTTACTGATGAAAATGAGATGATCGCACTCACCAACTACTCACACGTCATACAGAATCTCACTGGTCGTTACATACACAATAGACGAAATCACACAAAAATGACGTCCGGCTATTTCATTCACACCGAGCGGCGAGGCCGATCACGGATACAGTCTCAGTCGGAATCAGATTGGTCCCTCGAATTCCATCGGAAACACTCGTTTCCCGTTCTTCAGACGCGTTTCGGAACCAATCACTTCCGGTGTCTCAGCTACAGACCGGAAGCGTTCACTTCCGGCTGCCAAGTGGCACGTGCTGGGTGTAGCGCGACACCGTCGACATGCCGTCCACAAACTTGGTCTTGAACAGCACGTTGGCGTTGTTGAACATGCCGTCCTTGAGCGACACCACGATGAACTGGCGGCAGACGAGGGGGGAGGTACACCGTCAGCGGCCAGCCCCCGGCGACGGTTCAGCAAACACGCACCGCCAAACGACAGACGCAGCGGGGCCCAGTGCCGACGACTCCGGTGACCGTTAAATCCATTTTAGCGCTTACTAAAACGACGATAACAGAGGGCTTACCCGAGGGGAAACAGGATTGATTAGGGCGTAAAACATACGCCGAACGACGCAGTAGTGCCCATAAAATATCGCAGTTTAAAATTCCGCGAACAGAAACGCACCGACATCCCTCGCGACGACGAATCGTCCTGGGAAGCGGTGACGTCGGTCACTTCGTCAGAACCGAGGTCCAAACGCACTCCGGCGAATGCCGAACGGAACGCTACTTAATGCGTCAGAACTGGAGGTCAGGAATGCAAGGGGCATGTGGAGGTCATGAACCCAAGTAGGAAATCAATTCAGGAAAGGGTAAGCTGACTGGCAACATGAATGACATGGCAGCATGGGAACATGACTTGCCGGTTCGCAGAACAGAACCAAACGAAATCGACGAAAAGGTGAACCTTGGAGTGAACGTAGTAACAAATGAAAAAAAAAAACTTTTAGCTTACGGCAACAAACAGCTAACGGGAAACACCTGGAGCTACAATACACACAATGTACACATATGCGACAATACTGAACTCCCGTCACTGACGCTACCCACTACCGCCGCCGGCCGGCTGACCGCGCCGACCACAGTGGCCGCAGGTTGACCAGACCGTCCGCGGCCGCCACCTCAGTCTGGCGGCCGTGGCGTGCCGGCCCGACAGCCGAGTGATGAGCTCTGCCGGCCATCTGGGCCCGGTGAAGTGCCGGCCACTGCGGCTGATGGACGGGAAAATGGCCGGGATCAGCGCCCGGCGGCCGCTCGTTGGGTCGCGGCCGCGCGCCACCCAGCCGCGGGTCGCTGACGGACGGGCGACGGTAGAGGGGGTCTGGAGGTTCCCAGAACGGCGGTATATATCGGCCCGAGCAGACAGCAGGTGCCGCGCACCGCACATCAGCCTGGCGACCGATTGATCGCTTATTAACGGGAACAAATGCCTTAGTAAAGTAACGTGGCAAAGGTGGGCCCGAGCAGACCCACACGTGAGTCATAGGAGGCTACTCACGAGCGCTCGTCCGCCATTTGGTTGGGCAGATCGACAACGGGAAGGCCTAATGACAATTGTTACGTCACATAAACACCCATAAATGATGCAAATATTTAACCAAAGCGCTCAGCGCTGTGGTTACATTCGGACCCAGGGGAGCGAGGAGAGAAGACCAATTGAGAGAATAGAACGTAACTAGATATGCATCATTCAAAAGGACCCCGCGGGCGACTGGTGTTGATTCAAAGGTATTGGAGCACAAGCCTGCTTGGATCGAAGGCGCGTAATAAGCGTGACTCTCCAAAAATTGTGATTGCGGGATAGGGCTGGATATTCTACGTTCGGATTTGTGTGTGCAAATGGCCCAAAATGGTGTTAGAACATTACAGACGTGTAACTGTCGCATTTTAGCTAATTGGAAGACGGCCTGGTCTACTTGCAGCTTGTTTTCAACGAAGCGAAAGACGCTGTTGTAAATATTCATCGATTGCATAAAACAACATTGATCGATCAACACTGATCCATATGCAGCTGGAGCTCCCAGCCAGAACCTCAAGCACATTTGTTGACACTAAACAACTCCGAAATGTCTCGTCAAATTGCAGCCGACATGCTCAGAGTGTCGGAGCGACCCCGGCCAGACTGTGCGCTGCATTTCAACCGCGGACGGGCCATCACCGGGGTCGTATTCAGTTCGGCGTCCCTGCACTTGAGCTGATTACATCGAGCCGCTATCACTCCGGGAATAGCTATTTGATCTACATGGCGGACTGTAACGCAATAAAAGCCGTTCCGTTTGCTAATTCCACCAGCGATTTGCCCGGCAGCAATATAGTGGCACTCAGCCTTAGATGGGACGTTCATGACAACTTGTAGCATCTTGTTATTGCCCTTTGAGGCATAACGACCGAGCCGGTTGAATCTCATCGCTCTAAAGCAGGAGCCGGAACAATTTCGATCCTCCTAAAACCCGAATGTGTTTCGATCAATCCTAGCCTCTATAAAACCCAAATACACTGTCACTGCTCAGACTGGCTGCAGTCAAAGGCGAGTCCCCGCCCCTCCGGCCAGTACCCGAGACCTCTGTCGGTCGCATACATGTCACGGATAATCCAGGGTGCCTGATCTGCGCCCGAGCCCTTTGATCTGCATACGGGGACGAACGACACGAGTTACCTGGGCCTGGCTTCCGACCAGCGATGCCATTCCTTGGGATTTGTCCCAAGATCTTGGGATTTGAACATTAACATTGGGATCTTGTGATTTGCGCTGCATATCTTGGGATCTGGCAGAAGCTGATTTCACTTTGTCTTCTCATGCTGTCGAATGCTTTTTCCTTGGTCGATAATAGATTTAGGATGGATTTGCCTCACGGACGGTTAATAGCATTCAAACATATTGAAGTAACTGACGAAGCTTGCGATGTTTCTTGCAGGCATTATCTTCCCGAGGTCGCAGGATTATTTTTGTACCATTACTTGTTATGGGTATAGTAGCAGCTTTCAGTCGCTGTTCGCAACTGGCGCTCATTTGTTTAACCCTCGCCCGCACATGCGGGGGGGGGGGGGGTGGTGGTTGCCACCCCACCCCCCCAGGCAGTCTTTCTGCTCTGTACTCAACATTTTTAGAGCTAGAAGGCTGATTTTTCGTATAACTGCTCGTCTATCCTTTCTTGATGTCCACTGAAAATTTCAAGTTTCTGTGATTTTTGGTTTCGGAGATATGACCTTGTTTTTCAGGTCATGTCATGACCCAAATGGCCAATTCTCAACATCTTGCGTTTGCCATGGGCCTTGTGAGCTTTTGACACCCTGATTTCGGCCTTTTTTGCCAGTCTTACCTCCCACCTATCATGGAACATGTTGTTCGACGATGTACAGGGGTCAAGGTCAGGGTCAAGGTCAACCTAGGTCATCTAAGATAATTGCGTTTTAGGCAAGCTGAATTTACTTTTTGTGAAGTTTTTTGACTGCATTTTTGGTAAAAGCTTCTCAGATCATGATTTCATGTGATATGGACCCAAAAACAATCGGTGCACACATCAGTATACACACAGACATACAAACACATATAATTGACCTTGACCTAATTTGACCTGAAATGACCTCAGCAGCAAAATTCTGGTCGGATAGTGTGACAAAGAGGTTCTAGCTGGCTTGGCACCAGAAAACAGCATCGTCATCGGTATTTGATAAGCAGCGCACTTGATATCCAACGGTGACCCAAAACAGCAACATTTTTTAGTTTGACCTGACCTGGAAGGTCAATGACTGACCTGAGAAGGTAAAACTGGGTATCATTGGATTCGTCTCTTCCCAAAAAATCTTTTTGGTCTTTACTGCTAAGCTCTATCTCTAACAGGAACGAAATGGCGCGGGGGGGGGGGTGGCAACCCCCCCCCCCCCCATGCGCGTTCTAGGATGGGAAAATGGCATGTGCGGGCGAGGGTTTTAATTTTCAACTACCGATCAACGGGGATGGGTGGTTTGGCGGCATGATGTTGGATGGCTATGAAAAGCTTTTACAAACATTATGCCTAAAAAATATTTCAGAAAGCGGCTCCCGAACAAAGCGTTTCATTTTACGGTTTTGCTCTATGGAGGCTTATCCGTTGACCGCGAACCAAAATAAGGGCAATTTGTCTTTGACCTCGGAAAAGTGTCTGGTCACCTGACCTCTGGGCTCTGCTGGACCAAAAATAATCAAAGCGTAACGTACCGATCAACTGTAGGAGTCCGATCGACCCCCTCCCCCTCCCCTCCCCGCGGCCTCTAGGTACATTAGCTGCTGTAAAGACGCCAATAAGGACAAGGGTGGACCTGAAGAAGAGAAAGCTGAATACTTAACACACTAATATGTCCAAAATAAGCTATGGATTTACATGGGGTACTCCTAAGGATATGCGATGGGTAGTCTTGGGATTCGAGACGAGAATCTTGGGAAATTCTGGTCGAGATCTTGGGATGGAGCAAAAATGTGGATGGCATCACTGCTTCCGACCAGTCGCTAACTTTAGCACCCAGAGCCAAGTCACGCGGATTACAGGAGACACGGCCCCATTATTAATCTGTGATCTCTGGGGTGGTTGAGGCGAGGACCCGCTCGGGAGCGGACTCCCTGTCAGCCGCCGATCCCCAGCCCGACCTCAATATGGCACGAACGAAAAGCCGTGGGGATATGCGGGTCATCCGGCAGAGTCCCCCGGGGGTCACCGCTAGCGCGGCTCGGCGAGCTGTCTCTCGGGACGACCAGAGACGTGACTGCGCATCATCTGGGGGTCGCCTCCGCCCTAGTAAACACATCCCGAGGCTCTGCGGCGGCCTGGCGAGCCCGAAAGGCCCCTTCAAAGCACAACAAGCATACTAGAGTTTTCCATTTTTATCCGTTAATGATAGCCAAGTGCCGTCTTGTCAGTTTGCTGCCTGTCTCTGACGTTCCATCGGTCGCGTGTTATTGTGCGGAATAATCATAAATTCATAGTGTAAACTTTCGTTAGATGCATTTGAAGCGCCTCGGATTTAGCCGTTCAAGAAGCGCAGACTGCTGGCTTCGAAAGGCAAAAAACATATTTCTTTTCAGCATTAGAAAACTTGCACTTGAAAGCGTGTCAGGCTGAAGCCCACTGAAACAGCACAGATCCATAAGCCATTATATAACAGAGAACTGCTCAATACCAGAGCCTTATAGTAAGGTATATGAACATTCGAAAGCAAATGGAACGACAGTGCCGAATTAAATCGACCCAAATTAAGCCAGTGAAGGTCACTGCTCATTGCTCTAGCCCACTTAGCCACACTGCCCTAGCCCCAATTACGGTGCTGGTTCACTTTCTAATCACACTTCAACTTTAACTTCGACGTCCTCTAATATCTTCAGCACAGTGGCCAAACCGACCCCTCCGTGTCCCACCCTTCCCCACACCCTCCGTCGCACGGAGCGCTCCCCCAGGTCCCAGCAGGGTTGTTTTGAACCGTGTTTACGTACCGCGCCCAGGTGAGCGGCCAGGGACGGGCGCCGGATAGAAAGGCTAGGTAGGCGGGTCCGGCCCCGGGCGTCGTGGGTCGACATCATCGTCCGGCCGGCCGGCGCGGCGGTCGGTCGGTCGCGGTGGGGCGGTGTTTTCGGGCCCTGGCACTAATCGGCCGTGCCTTTCGGGCCGGGCTGGCCAGTTTCACACCCAGTAGAGCGGCAGGCAGGACGGGCAGGCAATGAACCGGGCCGGCACAGCAAATCGCTCCCACTGGCTAATGGATTTCCACCAGAGCCAGATTGGCTTTTACGATCGAGAGGCTGGACGCTTAGACAAAATTTTGGTTAATTATTAAAAACAAAAATAATCCAGGCTCATGCATTCCACCATCAATCCAAGTCAGCTTCGAACTGAAGCGTCACCAAATTCATGCATTTTGGAGGCTGGAACATTTTTTTATATAATATCCTGCAATGAAACCTGCGAAGAATAACAACAACGAAAACGCTGAAAGGATTGCCGGCTGCCGCTCGAATTCATTAACAGACACCTAGAGCCGTAAATGTCGATCAATCTATCAAGACCCTCTCCTTCCATTTTTCACCCTTCAGACACACTACCCCGCGCCACTCGTTTCTGGGGAGAAGCCATCGCAACTGATCCAGTTCCGTGCTGCTATAACAGGGCCCGATCAAAGAGTATCGGCCAGACGCTAATCAGCCAAACGCCCGCCCGACCTGCCGCCGTCTGCAAGTTACCGGTGTTCGTCGGTTCGTCGGTGTCGACAAACCCCTCCGTCGGCGCCGACGAACCCTCCGTCGGCGCCGACGAACCCCTCCGTCGGCGCCGACACGCTCTGTCCGACCGCCCGGCAACAACGACTGTTAATTGGTCGCCGTCGGGCCGACCGTTAGTCGTACTAGCGTCGGCAGACGTCGGCCAGACGAGATTGGAGAGGCCAGTTCGGGTACGGGACTGAACGGGGAGGGGGGCATGCAGGCTGGTCGGTAGAACGTGAGGGTATGAGTGCAAAATATGATAGATGGGCAACAAAACGGTGGTCTGGGTGTAGTCTGGTCGGTAGCCTAACGGCGATTGTCAAAAGGCGAGTCAGGACGCGGGCCGAGGAAAGGAGGGAGACATGGAGTAACAGGGTACAGCTCTAGCCACACACGAAAACATCTGTGTGATTTAACTCTCAGCGACTGAGTCTGTGCCGTGAATAGTAGACAGCCCTATAACACTTATGACATGCTGAATACTTACGTAGCGCTGACGCAGATATTAATTTGTAAGACAGCGTTGGCGCCGTAAATTTCCCCTATGATATATGAGTGCGGTGAGGCCCACTAATTTAATTTATGGATCATACATTGTGTCTGTCGGACAATGGAGCTGCTGAAAATCTGACGAAACCGAACCTGTGCAAATTAATTAGCTCCGTGGCTTCGACGTCAGAACCCTAATTAGAGCGATCAGACTTCAGAGCCGCCTGGCGAGTGATGCTTTCCGGTTCAAACCCAAAGCTACGGGCACGGGAAAACACCCTCACTCAGGATTACGCCGATCATTGTGCTGCACGCATTGCATGATGAAATCCTTGATGCAGTTTTCGTTCGTTCGTTCATTGGGGTTTACGGGCGCGTCGACTGCGGTGGTCATTTTGCGCCCATAACGCTGTACTGGTAAAGCGGATATGTCAACAGAGAACTGACGAACTGAAGAAGACTAGAACTACTTGAGATACGTTATACTAGTAAAACGAGTATATCACAGGAAAACTGATGGATTGAATATAAGAAAAGATGCTGCCGGATAAAACCCAGGGTGAGTCATCACCCAGCAGGTGGCGAATGGTGGTGCCTGGGACAATGCGGCCGAGGCAGCGTGTCCGGTTTGGTTCGAGGTGCGGGCAACTTAAGAGAATGTGAGTGACTGTGAGCGGCACGGCACAATGGCTTCATGTTGGTTGGGCATCTCCACGAAGGAGATAGCCATGCGTTGCATACGTATGCCCTATCCGTAGTCTGCAGAGGACCACTTCATGGTGTCTTTTGCCTTGAAAGCAGGACTGCCAGGGCTCCAGAGTAGGTTTCACCTTTCGTAGCTTCTCGGATCCATGGAGACGCCACTCTGTCTGCCAGCTAAACGTCGTAAAAGATCGAACGGCTGGGTAAAAATTGCCTTGATGCAGTTTTAGGACCTCTGATAAAATCGATCTCAATCAGCTTACCCCTGAACAGTCAGCTGAAAAACTACAAGTTTTGATGACAACTGAAGTATTTGCAGCATGCGCTCTCATAAGAACCGTCTTCTGGTTCCCTATGCCGGTGCTGTCTTCCCTGGCAGGCCAGTCATCCCCAAAGAAACGCTGTCACGCATGGCAGTGCTATCGCGCTACGCAGATGGATGCCTTTCTTGGCAGTCTTGTCATCTCCCCGTCCGCCGCGTCTCTCTCTCTCTCTCTCTCTCTCTCTCTCTCTCTCTCTCTCTCTCTCTCTCTCTCTCTCTCTCTCTCTCTCTCTCTCTCTCTCTCTCTCTCTCTCTCTCTCTCTCTCTCTCTCTCTCTCTCTCTCTCTCTCTCTCTCTCTCTCCCTCCCCCTCTCTCCCTCTCCTCCATCCTCTCTCCTCACCTGTGAGTGCTGGAAGTGAGTGCGCAGCATGGTACCAATATTCTGCGTGTGCGACAGGTCCAGTGCTGCATCCACCTCATCCAGGATGTAGATGGGGGCCGGCTTGAAGAGTAGCAGTGACAGGATCAGCGAGAGCGCCACTAGAGAACGCTGTCCTCCGCTCAGCTCGGCGAGAGACTCTTTCCAGACGCCGCCGAACGCCACTCGAACCTGGGGAGAGAAGGAGGGGTCAGGTCAGGTCTGACTCCTAGATGTCACCAAACGCCCCTCGAACATAGAGAGTCTGAGGGGAGGCCAGGTCAGATTGGTCTCAACAAGGTTAGTTTTTTCTTCTTCTTTTTTAGCCTTTATTGGCTCCTTCATACATAACGCGAGTTACAAGATGAATTGCTGCTATTGTTTAAATACACTGTTGCTGTTTGGTTGCTGTTACACAAAGTTAGGACAGGCTTGGAACTCCGCCATTCTCTCAGCTGGAAGCCTATGTATTTCCCCAGAGTAATTCCCCCCGATCGGGATCCCCTAGATTCCTAAAAAAGTGGCATGGTGGGAACGGCCTCGGGCCGGAGTCGACTTTCAAAGGCCCTCGGGCCTCCAGCCCACTCCGGCCTGGGGATGGCTATCCATTCCAAGGGAGTACACCTGATGATATACGTGATACACCACATGAAATACAGTACACACCCTCACTATTCATCTGCTTGAAAACGGTTATATCAATATGTAATGACACAGCAATAACGTCGGCCGCTGCAAATGACGCTACATCCGCAAACACACGACATATACAGCCTTTGAGGCGACAATGATATGCCTGACAATGGGGATAACGTCCGTACCGATGTAGGGATGTTTGCCAATGGGTCGACGTCCGGACGAAACGGTAATAGGTCCGATCGGGACGCTTCCCAGGAGAGAAGCAGTTGAATAATTGATGCCTTTTCATTTCCTACAGGTATTGTGCTACAACCAATTTTGCTACAAACGACGAAGCTGCCAACCGTGTTGAACCACTAATATTGCGACTTAACAATATGTTCTGAAAAATCACTGCAAAAACAATGATGCTATACTAATTGAATTGCGACCATTGACAGGTACAGCCCTCATGTCACTGCGTAGTGGGCTTTTTTCGACAAAACCGATAGTAACTCGAAGGCTATGTTATCAGTCGATCAGAACTTATTGCACAGAGACGCGCCTTGCTCCACTCCTTCGATTGTGTCTGGCACTAAATAACTTATACGCCAAGTGTGGCAACAAAAGGCAATAACTTGCTTTGGGGGCAGATATTAACTATTGTATATTGTAGCCAATTTGAGGGAAAATGTATATTACGATGTGCCCAATCTAGGGTGTGGAGCCCCGCACGTCTTGGTGTTACGATTTCTAAGTGACCAATAACATAGTCTTCGATTTATTCTCGGTTTTGTCGAAAAAGAGTACCTACCGCGCAGTGAGATCAGGGCTGTGCACATTTCAAAAGCCAAGATCCACCTCGTCCTTCCTCCTCGGGTTTGAGAGATAACGTGTAAGTACACAGCGGCCGGGATTACGTGTGTATGCTGTTTTATTCCAGTTTACATAGTGCTACTGGCGAAAACAGGTACAACTGAACTGTTTGTACCGACAACTTCCCAACAAGAACAGTCATTCAGTGCTCTCTGAGGCCCGCTCCCTCCCGTGCCAATCTGTCTGCAGTCCAATCCGGCCTCTGTAGCCGGGGGACGACCCACGGGCGCCGGCGGGGCCTCAGTTCCCGGAGCACACCACTGTCGGCAGTCGGTACCTCGGCCCGGCCACCCGGGCGGGCAGCCGTCTCCAGCTCACGGAAACAGACCATGGGCTGAACTATGGACCATCCGTCCGAACGACCGCGCAGAGACCCGCAGAGCCCGCCGGCCGGAAGCACAATTTGTCGACTGGAATGGCACCACTGCTCACAACCGGCCTGCAGGTGGCTGGGGACGGGCACCGGCCATCGGTCACCGCCGCTACCGGCTGGGGACGGGCGGACGTCTCGGCGCGGACCGGGATCGGTCAGAGCCGCCGCCGCGATACGGGGAAGTCGGCTCAGAGTTGTCCGGCGGCAGGCGGGCCGGGCAGTTCTGGCCAAAGGCCGGCGACGTGACATTTGACGGCGCACGGCGCTAGAGCCGACGGTCGGACTGCGTCGCCGGTATCGCCACCGCCGGCCAGCCGGCGTATACGAGCATTGCATGTATCATAACTTGTTCCTCCAGCATTGGAACGACCGGTCCGCCCCGGCGGGCAAAGTTGTGAAGCGATAAACATCATTTCAGCTAGGTCTCGGAGTGAATTCAGTTCGTCGTATTCGTGACTCAGGTTTATTGACAAAGCTGCCGAGGGCGCATCAAAACTCCACCCAAAACACTCGCTGTAGTCCACCAGGCACTCTGTTCCAGTCTACCAGTCCCTTGGCGAGGGGAGAGGAGGGGAGACTCTTCCTCTTTCCCAGTTCCTCTCTCCCTCTCTCCAGTCCACCAGCATCCTTTCCTCTCTCCAGCCAATATGCCCATCTCCTTCCTTCAGTTTCCCTCCCCAATGCACTTGGCCAATGTCAGTTCATTTTCCCTCTCCTCCGTCCTCACAGTTCGTCTATCTCTCTCCTTGTCTCCAGTTCAGTCGCCATTCCCTCTCCTCTAGTCCACCGCCCTTCCCTCTCCCCATCCCATACCTCCGTCCCCCTCTCTCACCTCGAGTCCATCCAGCACGGACGCGCCGTCGGGCGGCTGCAGCTTGGCGCTGGTGCCCGGCAGAAGGGTGCCGAAGATGGAGCCGAAGTCGCGGTTCACCTGCTCCCACGCCTGTTTCAGCGCCTCGTTCTTCTTCTCGTCCAACTCCCGGATCACGGTCTCGATCTTGGTCTTGTCGTTCTCCACGATACGTTTCTTGCGCATCAGGTCGTTGAACTGAAAGGATGGGTGTGTCATAAGAAGTCGAGGAGACACCAATGACACCACTTCACCGTTGAAGGCACCTAATAACATATTTTGAAGTTGATACTTTCCTTGCAAAGCCTGAGAGGTGCTAAGTGAGAAAAGTAAATGAAGGAAGGGCGAAAGTTTCTCGTCCTCCCGTTAGCAGATCATTGGTGAAATTGTGAGGCTGGAACGAGAGAGAAAAAGCCTACCCTTATGCGTGATCAACACAAATTAGCAGTCCAACTCCCACATGCTGCTCGCTTATCAACGGGTTCTTGACGTTTGATATCTAAAATGTCTGAAAAGTTGATGCTCTTATTGCTTCCACAGGAACCAAGATAAAAAGCTCCCGAAAATGTCACGCACCTCTCCAAAACAATTTCCTAATGATTCAGCAACCACTTACCTATTGCTCCCGCCATCCCTCCACATACAGTTCCTGCTCTCACAACCCACCTGTTCCTCAGCCTTGCCCAACATCTTCATGGCCCGCTTGTTGATGCTCTTGCCGAGCTTGGAGCGCGCCTCCTCCAGCTTGCCGATACGCTTGCTGGCCTCCACTGGGTCCGTGGCTTTGAAGTCGTAGGAGGTGTTGGGCTGGCCGAAGAACTGCTGGTCGGCAGCGATCCACTCGTGTTCCGAGAGCATCCGTTTCACCTGCCGGCAGTGGCGAGTAATCAGGGAGTGGTCAGGGAACGGTCAAAGAGCAATCATATGATGAAGCTGTCAGGATGTGGCAGGGGCTCCCCCATCGGGGGTGGGAGAAATGGCGGTTCGAGCCTCCCTCCTCCAATAATGTTACTTCCGTAGTGCAGCCTATGTATGAGAGCGTGCATTTTTGGGTCGGATCACCCAATCCTGAAACCGAGGCGGAGCCCATCATTGGAATGTGGCGAAGGAAAAGTTGGGGAGGGGGATGTAACGGTCTATCTTGTAGGAATGGTAGAAGGAGATGGCTCGGCGACGGAAGAATGGATCACATGGTGTGGGTAGCATGCGCAAAAAAAACTAAATAGCCACACCATTTAATGAAAAATCACCACAGAAAACCATTCTGTCTTAAAAAAGCTCCCTGATATACGAGCCCTCCTGGTACAGCTCGAGTGTTCCAAGTCACCACACAGTGCCCACACCTGTACCAGCCCGTTTCCGTCCCACTCACCCTCTCCTGGGCGTCCTTGGCATCGTTCCTGGCCTTGCTGAGCTTGTGGTCCAGCTGTTTAATTTCCAGCTCTCGGTCACGGTTCAGACCAATCAGCTCGTCCTTTTTGGCCGCCATCGCCTGGATCTCCTTGTTCTGGGCGTTCATCACGTCCTTCTGTGCCTTCACCGCCTTCTGAGCTTCGACCAGCGCCGCCTGAGGGACACAACGGTGACGTTATCGGAGGTAATGAGGTGACGTCACGAGGGGTAACGTGATGACGTCACGGGAGTTCGTAGTGACCTTACGAAAGGCCGTGGGTGACGCCCATTCGTGAGATAGCTTACGATATTGGCGGAAATGCCGATGAACGGAAATGAATGAACGGAGAATGGGCACGACATGGCATTCCAAGGAACCAGAATCTTTAAGCACAGCGGAAGACGTACAATTCTTACATTACGGAGCATTGTTTGTTTTTGTTGGGGCTTTATGGCGTGTCGACTGCAATGGTGATCTTGCGCCCATAATCATGATAAAAAGCCCAAAGCTACAAGCCCAAGCTTCAAGTCAAAACACACACACACAAAAAAAAAAAACGGAATGTAATATACTATCGAAGCACTAGAGTGGTAGCTGCTAACAAATGGAGCCCGCTGAACTACATATTCATCCATTCGCTCGCGATCATGTACTCTGAATAAAAGGTTCGCGTTACGCTTTCAAGAAATGATTGCATTATGGTGATTGGAATCCATTCACATAATGGAGCGTTTGGTAGAGTGCCAATCACACAAACAGAGCCATCAATAGAGGTCCCACGCTAAAAACATTGAGGCATTAGCAGATCTGTTGAAAGTTGAAACTAATGGCGTTGTTAAACCCAACAGATCTTAATTATCTCATGATTTACACCACAGGTTGAAAAACCCCATCGAGAATAAGAAACCACATACAACAAATTAACGGAAAGATGTCACGTAGGATGCACTTCGCAGGGAAAGCATATGATTCGTCGAAAGCTTGGCTGAAATATGCTAAATAATGGGCAGCCATCGAGCTACAGCGTTCTAATATCGAGCATGTCATCAAATAACTCCACCAAGTTCAGCAATGAGACTTTCCGAATTGGCGCCGATCGAGGTTATAGAGGTTATTACGCCAAGTTTAAGGCGTTGAGCTTACGTTACTTTATGCTATCCCTGGCCCGAGTTGCTCGCCGCGGCTACTTTACACCACGATTCACTCAGGAAGTTTGAAACGATACTACCTGAGCGGCCGTATCATTTTATATTCACGTATCACACGGCCAAGTTTGGCCGGCCGCCGGTCTGATGGGCCCGGGTACACGGCAGGCCGCCCTCACACACAGATAACGGGGAGAATAACTTCAGACCCGTGAACCACGGTGTGACACATGCTCGGGTGAAAAATAGCACACGCTTCCGTGGCAACAGCCGATCCCGGCTCATACACGTCGTTTTCCTCAGCAAAGGTACAAATGCACTGGTTCAAAAGATTCCCATGCATCACCACTACATATAGGTATCTGATCTCCGGGCGTGGCACTCAAATCTCAAAACAGCTCAACGCTCCTTTTCGTCCATTCAAGAAACTGTAAGCACCATAACCAAAAACGCCGCCTAGTAAATACTCAGAAGCCGCTACGCGCATGGTTAAAAAAAATTAGCGGCTTCTTTTCACTCTTAGGGGATGACAAAGCACCATAGCACTCAATGCTGACATCCAGGACCGATTCGTAGATGACTGTCACGAACTCAGGACAATGTGCAAAGTGCAATATGCTATATGGCAACATGCAATATACGGCAATATGCAGTGTGCACTGTGTCCCGCAATACTATGACCACCTTTGACTCGCCGCGGTCCGGCAGAGCTCATTGCTACCAGGCACACTGTCTGGCCGCCTTCGAGCAGCTATTGCATTGCACTCAATACCGCGCCAGTCGCCAGACGCCTAGACTACATTTGATATCGTAGAGGCACCATTGAGCGTTAACGATGATATTCGATAACTTCGTGGGAGTGTACTGATATTGAACACGGTTGTGGCGCCTTAGGGCAGGAAACATGTAATAAGTCCTACGGTTCAACGCAAGGTCTTTCTAAGGAGAGAATGCTGTCGATGTCTTATTAAACCCTTCCAAGAGAAGGCAGTTGGTTACATGCTCTAAGCCAGAAGATGAATACAATGACAGGTGATGCACATAAAAGCTAGCGGGATCGATTCGTTATCAAGTGTCACAGGTTCATGTTACAACTTTGCTCAAGGTAAGTGCAGTTTTGCCGTAAGAGCGACATTGAAAATGACGGTGTCGAATGCTGATCTGAGCATTTCTCGCATCCGATGCGGTTACCTAAAAATATGTGTGATTGCTGAACCGGTGCTGCCTTCGAATTGATGTTTGTGTTGCGCCACAATGCCTCTCCTCCGGGTCACGTGTCACAAATCACACGTGAGCCAAAGCACGCCACCAAAGGAACCCATCGTGTCAACGGACACACATCAAACACCGAACGACGCCGCACACCGCACGTGCCGTGTGCGTCTGAAAGGCTGTAAGTAGCGAGCACAACACAGACGCACAAAAACACAAAGGGACAGCAGAAAATAGAAAACATTGCCGCCTCGTCCCGTCGGCAGAAGTCTCCTCGGTACGGGCGACCGGCCGGTATAGGGCGGTTGACGCTAGACGCTGCTTGTTTGGCACAGGTGTGACGTCAAATGCGTTCGATCCAATACGGCGATGGGCAGACATCGCGACAAATAAAGGTTGTGCGCATTAACATTAGCGAGAAATTATTGGATGTCAACTACGTCATACACTGGCAAATTAATATACGCTGGCATGGAAGTTTTCACAAAAATACGGAGAATAACAAACGCATGCTGCAATATCTTCCTCGCATGTCCAAGGTAACTGCGCACTGCCGTCTCTCCGCTCAAAAGCTGTTCGCTAAGGTAATAATCCGTCGGTACAAACTGCAAAAGCTACCATCCAGTCTCTCTTCACGGCCTCTCGCCCATCGTCGGCGGCCCCGGACTCACCTTAGCTTCCGTGAGCTCAGTCTCAGCCTCTGTCAGCCGCTCAGCGTACTGGGCGAGCGCTGTCTCGGCAGCAGCGATCTGCTCCTCAGTGGTCTGAACAGAGGTGCCCAGATCGGCGATCTCCAGCCGCATCTGCTCCTCTTCCTGAAAGAGGGAGAGTGTTCAGTAAGTTCAGCACGAGGAAAAGAGTGGGAGGGAAACGATGAGATGGGCTCCGAAGTAGTGCACTAGTGGGCGGACATTTACACACGAGGTGCGCACAAAGTACACCATTTTTGGCTTAACTGAGCACATCATGCGCCAAGGGAACCATGACCAAATGTTTTGCATTTCCACGTTTACAATCATTTTGACATTTCTGCACGGCTTAACTTTAGACATAACAAGGCGATGTGTCATACGAAGACATAGGCATTCCCATACTTTCACGTGGAAGTACCTAAAGTCGCTCCAAGTACATCCCACGCACATCTCTTTCTCTTTCTCTGCTGTCCCCTCTGCTTCTCTCCTCTCTCTCCCACGCACCTGCTGCCGCTCTTGCCAGGCCTTCCGCGTGGCCTCGGCCTTGGCCTTACAGGCCTTGACCTCGCCCTCGGCGGCCTTCAGTTCCCGCTCGCGCACGGCCTTCTGGTCACGCATCTGTTCCTCCAGATGAGTGACCCGACCGCGCTGCTCAGTCTCCACCGAGACGCACTTCTGCTGAGTCTCCTCCAGCTCCACTGGAAACGACGGGTGGACGTTATGAGACGAACAAAACGAATGTTAGAGGAGTAGGTCGCTGGGGGTGACGTATATCTATCAGGTTACAGTATGAACTTAAAGACACATGAGGTCATAATATTGTTGAATCAATTTCGCGTGGGTACAAGACGTCACATCTACCATATTTTGATTGCATAGATGTGAGCCAAGTATGATCCACGTGTACCTAGCTTTGGTACAGCATGAACAGAATCAGAAATTACCTTGTCATAACAGCATTCTCCACTACAGGTTGTGTGTGCTTTACGATTGAGCCACTGGGGACAAAGTGACCCGTTTTCGGGCAACTGCGTTGTGCGGTAGTGATATATGTGAGTGCAGATGTGTTTGTTTTGATAACGGCGGCAGACAGTCGGTGTAACAGATGTCTTCCTGTGTCGCCAGCGGAGCTCGTAATACGCTGTGTGTATCATACGTAGCGAGGGTTACAGTTGAGCATTGTGAGTCGCTGCCTTCTATTGTCAGTGTGTATTGATTACAGTCGCGACTGCTGTCGAGTGTCATTGGAGTGGTGTGAGTGGGGGGGGGGGGGGGGGTGGATAGATCTGAGGGCAGTGGAGGCCTGTTTAGACACAGAATCGGTCCACATCGAATGTGCATTGTAGACAGTTCCGGCAGAAATGATACGCTACATGGCGATGTTGTTTGCTGTGAAATCCGTGCGCGTCCAATGAAATTCAGCAAGAAAATAGACCAGCAAACAAACAAACAAACAAACAAACAAACAAACAAACAAACAAACAAACAAACAAACAGGAACTATGGGTTTCAGGAGAATTTCTCAACATCTTATATCATTCAATGTTTTATTCGGCTAAACCACTATCAGCGAATACATGCAGCGCAGGTGAAGAGGTGCATATAACTGCAGCGACCACCTCAGGATGAAGTTCGTTTCTCCGTTGTATACATACGAGTAGTCCTACGAGTATGTAGCCAGCTGTGGTTGGACTGAGGACATCCCCTGGGGGGCACGTGTGTTGCATGGACCAAATAAGCACCCCATGGACCCCCCATCTCCCTCCCGCAGTGTGGAGCACTGACCGATCTGCGCCTCCATCTGCTCCACCTCCGCCTGCAGCTGGGCGTGTGTGGTCTGCGCCAGACGGTCCCGCACCAGGCCCAGCTCGTGCTGTTTCAGCTCCTGCTGCTGCTTCAGCTGCGCGTACCTGAGGGAGGGGCGGCGAGAGAACCGTCAGACCAGCAGCTGCTGCTACCTGGCGGAGCACACGGCGACAGAAACGTCAAAGGATGTGACTGTACCAATCAGGGTAGTGTGAGACAGATTGTGAGTTTGTTAACGTTACTCGTTTGTTGAGCTAATTAGCAGGAGTAAAAGGTATTCACACTCTTTGCAGCAATATTGAGTAAATAACCAGCAGCTAGTTGAGCCCTCACCTCAACATGCTGGAGCCAACTGAAACATATCCAATATCCAGCCTCGATCAAGTTAAGAGGTTATTTACTGCTGGTACCAGTCTGTATAGGTATTCCTCAATCCATGAAAACGTTCCCAAACGTATTTCCGTATAAAATAATTTTTCTTCCCTTCTAACAACCCATCCACCCACCTATCCGCGTTCTGCGTCAGATGCGCCAGTTTCTCCTCCAGTTTGGCCAGGTGAGCCTCCAGCATGCCGAGACGTTTCTGGGCGCCGGCCAGAGCGTGCAGCTCGGCCAGCACGGAGCCACGCGCGGCGCGCGAGCCGCCCGTCAGCGTTCCGGCCGGGTCGACCACGTCACCGTCCAGGGTGACGGCGCGCCGCTGCACGTGCGGGTCGAACGCCACCTGGTTGAAGGCGAGAGGGGGTGATGAGAGGGGGTGTGAGGAGGCGAGAGAGGGTGAGGTACTCACACTCATATTTTGTCATTCACATCTGCAGACAAAATATCGACTATTACAAATGCTATGTAAATGGGAAGAACAGCGTTAGCAGTTTGGTAAGAATGTGTTTGGAAATATGAATTGTTTTAATCAATTGAAAGGAGTGTAGATTAATGTGGACGTAATCGTTGGCACATGACGTAAAAGACATGTCACAGCTGAAACAAACAATAATTATAAACGTGTTAGCGGAAACTTTACAGCTCCGTCATCCAGCAGCAGTTCCCAACAACCCGTCGAGTGTTCATCATGATGACGTCCAGCCAGTGTCGCTCAGACAAAATGGGATCAAATAACTCATCCCGTCACCGTCGCGGTACGGCCGCCGCGCCATCCGGCGGATCCGACCTACGCGCACTAATTGGCTGGACATTCCGACTCGCTACATGACATGGATTCTTGCAAATTATAGCGTTATGTAACCCGGTTCCATATGCACGGTGGAATGCACCGACATCAGAGCCAATATCTCATCAACAATCATACGGCAAATCCGGCTCGAGCTGTCGGCTCTGTTGCGTGTTGTGACATTGCTTTTCATGGATCGGGCTATCAAGCCTAATTCCCAATGCGATGCAGTCTATTCGACGCAGAACCCAACTGTATTAACTCAATCAGCATTCGGGATCACTTTATGGCGAAGTTCACCATCCGCTGGAAGGCTCAAAGATATGCAAAGTTATTTATCCGTGTGTCCACACTCATGTGCCAGGCTCACACAAAACTTTTGAAAACTTCGGAAACGATATACGCTCCGGCACTACCAACCATGCCTACGACGCAAAAGCTCTAGGGCCTTACTACGAACACAAGATTATTAGCATATTTCTTGCTAAAAAAGCAGGACATGCCTCGGGCTACTCGCTGCTTCATACAAGCTCGTAAGCAGGCCGTTTTATTGACGCCAGGCAGCGCTCTGCCTGTCCCTCTCCCCTCTCTCCCCATCTCATCCTCTTCCCATCTAAGCGCTACCGGTAGGTAGGTACCTTTTTGGCGGTGTCTAGGTCACGGCAGATGAGTGTGTTGCCAAACACCCACTCCATGGCCTTGGTGAGCTGCGGGTCGTGTTTGATACACGACAGCGCCGTCTGCACGTTCTCCTTGCCCACCTGAATAATGGAGGGGAGAGGAGGGTGAGCAACTGGTAAACAGACAGAAACTGACAGCACTTACAATCCAAAAGAAATATAGAAACATCAACATACATTACAACGGACTAACAACGGACACAAATAGAAATAGATAAGACTGAAAATGAAATAAATAAATCCCCACAAACACTCGACCTCCACTGAGCCTGCGCACCACAGCATCACCTACTCGATGCAGACATTGGAGCTTCACCTTCCCCATCCCTCTCTCTGATGCAAACCGCGCCCGAAACGGCAGATCACCGACCCTCAAGCATTAACCTCCGCTGTCTGCACGGACTCTGGGCACCCGTCGCACCCACCCACCCACCATCTACTCGACACTCGTCTCACGCACCCATCATCCGCCCGACACCCATCCCGGCAACTCAGCATCCGTTCGGCACCCGTACCGCCCACCCACCCACCATCCGCTCGACACCCGTCCCCACCACCCACCACCCGCACAGTCCGAGTCTCCGCGCACTCGTCCCCACCACCCACCATCCGTTCGGCACCCGTCCCCACCACCCACCTGCTCAGTTCGACTCTCCGAGCACTCGTCCCCACCACCCACCATCCGTTCGACACCCGTCCCCACCCACCCCACCACCCACTCAGTCCGACTCTTCGAGCGGGGAGCATCCGTCCCCACCACCAACCATCCGTTCGACACCCGTCCCCGCTACCCACCATTCGCTCGGCGTGCTGGATGGTCCTCTGGTCGATACACGAACTGGAGATCTTGTTGAGCGGAATGAAGGTGACGCGCTTCTGGAGCTGACCACGCTCCAGCAGCTTCTTACCGACCACCTCAGTGTCTACCACCACGTTATATAGCTGGCGGCGCGGGGGAGGGGGTCAGATGGCGCAGCGGTGGTGACGGGAGACAGACACAGGGACAACACAAATGACAGAGGGAGAACTGGGAGACCTAGGGCAAATCCTAAAACTGAATAGATGACAATGTAGCACGATAAATTATGATGATTTTAGAAGTTTTCTGAACAAAAATCACTTACCTTACTTATTGGTGAAATATGTGACTTCATCTAAGTCGTAAAACGGAGACTTATTTAAATATTCATTTGTTTATTACCAATTGATCAGCTATTGACTACCAAATATATTAGCGATTTATGAGCTGCAATCGATGGATGAAGTGTATGTGACCTTACGAACACTCGCCCAATCCCCTAACCCCCCTCACCCCTGACCTACCCTGACCAGCGACCCCCTCGGGCCCCTGACCTACTCGTGACCGCGTTGACCTACCCTGCCGCCGGCTGTAACCTCTAGAGCGGTGGCCGTGTTCACGTCCTTCAGGTTGAACAGTTTTCCGACGACACCGCGCACTGTGCGCCGGTCAAAGTCCCTCTCCGGGTCCCGGTAGTCGAGGGCCAGCTGGGGGTACCTGCCGACAGCCGAAGGGAGGGGGGAGTCACTGGTCTGATAGGAGGAGTCTCAGAGAGAGGGCATGGTACCAGTGTGTCGGACTGGTCGCGGTCGAAGGAAGTCGATTCGAGAGTCGTAAAAATGGGAGAGGACAAGGTAGGTAAGGCGCATTGTAATAAGAAGATGTCGATGAGTTAAGGGGCAGGAAGAATCTAAATGAATAATACCCGAGTACCAAAAGGACAGTTCCAATCCAAATTCACGCAACAAAATGTAAAAGCATGCACAGCAACCGACAGAGACGTTTCGTTCTTCTCCACAGCTTACAACTATTGTCACTGTCAGTGCTATCATGGCTGTCACTGCAGCATATTGTATATTGCATATGAGTTATTGACTGTTGTCACTGAGATTCTCAGTGACATTCTCAGTTCTGATTCTCAGTTCTGAAGCACCCAGCGGCCAGTCGGTCGGCTGGCAGGGTTACCTCGACTCCAGCACGTCCAATTTCTCCCGGACTCGGTTAATCTCCTGACGCAGCGCGCGGCGTTCCTCTTCCAGTTCCGCGATCTGCTTCTCGTCATATTGCAGCTGACCAATCGCTTTCTGCAGGACGGGACGGTAAAGGGGGTCAGAAGTGGCGCCAGAGCCGACAAAAGGGGAAGGTATGGTAGCCCAGAACAGAAATCATGCTCTTTAAGGAGTACGCAGGTCCTCGTCGCCGAGCATTGCTGGTTTGATTACCACTGGGTTGCTCTACTAAAGTTGCAAATAATCATGGAAATTCCGTTGCAGCTAAACTGTTGCGTCGTCGAGTGCTATCTCGATGACGCATGAGGTTAATTAGCCCACATATGTCTCATATCCTCGCCATCTTGTCCACCTCAACCCTACCTCCCTCGCCACCTTCTCCGCTTCTATTCTTCCTCCCACACCACCTTACCCATCACTATCCCGTTTCGCTCACCATCATCCCCGCATCCCACCCAACTCTAATAACCTCCCTCGCCACATTGTCCGGCTCTTGTTTATCTCGCTCACCACCTTATCCCGTCTCGCTCACTATCATCCCCGCACCCCACCCACCTCTATTCTGGCCACCTCCGCTTCCATCGTCTCCAGCTGCTTCGAGTCTCGCTTATACTCGGCCTCAGTCTTCTTCATGGCCGTGCGCCTCTTGTTGAGCTCCTGACGTGTGTGTTTGAGTTTCATGTCAGCCTGTTTTCGGGCCGATTCGGAGTCGGCGATGGCCGTTTTGGCATCTGCAGGCGACAACCAAACGGTCATTGATGATATACTGTCAGACGATAATGGGAATTGGAAAGTGACGGCGCACCTGATAAATAGTATCAGGTAACAGCGCAGATCGGTCAGTGACATTGAGGGTCAGGTGTTAGCGGGGGTCGGTTGGTGACAGCTGATGTTAGTGTCAGGTGTCAGAGGAAAGTGGCACCCGGGAGATTAAGTGGGTGACAGTGGCTGACACTGGAGCGTGCATGTGGAGGGGGGGGGGAGGGGGAGTGGCGACTCGAACCCAACCCAGCGTCATAACTGGGGACATGGAACCGCACCTTTAACAATGACATGCCGGGCGATAAAAGACATTTAGAGGGTTGTCATGATGCTTAACAAAGAAATAACCGAGCCGCTGTCATCCATCAGTGACCCTGACTGACCGGCAAATGCGTAGTTCCGCCTGATTACTCGACAAGTCACCCTGTCACTGATCCGCTATGCACTAGCATATGTACCAGCTCATCGGTTTATCCCCGGAGACCAGCGCAGTCACAATAATGTCCCGTCATGGTCGGCTGCTAGATCCCACCCATTAGTGACCCCAGATCGGACAGGCGTAGCGACAGCTCTGTACTGATAAATGCGTCCGTCTGAGTGAGACCACAAACCAGACAGCATCACCGCACGCAATCCGATTTGTGGCGTTCGCCCCGTCATCGGATGCGGTTGATGAGCTGCTATGATGTTGTGTTTGTCAGTCAATGAGCAGAGCTGAATGCATTACCGAATTGTGTAAACGATAGAACAAAACAAGTCCGGGCTAACCAGCTACACTATCTAAACGACCTACAAAGAAATCACTGGTTATCTGTTCTTACAACCTTTCGGAAAATCAGCTTGCAACTTATTAGTCACAACGCATTTCATTTCCTGGGAAGTCCCGGAAGCAAAGTCGCTTATCACCGTGAACAGGAACTTCACAAGAAGATCGATACATAGATTCACGATTCGAGCGACATACACTTGAACGAGACATCGCTCGCTCGCTCCCTCATTCCTTCTTTCTCTCACCATCTCCTTTTGCTCACCCTCCATCCCACCCGCCTCCCCGACTCACTCATTAGCTGCTGCGCCAGCGTGGCATCCTCGCCATCATCACCGCTGAACATTCCCGAGCTGATGGCCTGGAAGCGTTTCTGTGCGGCGGCCAGCGCTGCCGCCTGCTGCTCGTCAGCTTCTCGCAGCGAGTCAAACACCGTCTTCAGCTGGCCCATCTCAGCCTCCTTCTGCTGTAGCGCCGTGCGGTCCTGCGGGGGGCGAGGGGGAGTGTGAAGTGAGGGAGAGCCGGGTGCGGAAGAGCCGGGTGAGGAAGAGCCGGGAGAGCCGAGACAGAGAGAGAGAGAGAGAGAGAGAGAGAGAGAGAGAGAGAGAGAGAGAGAGAGAGAGAGAGGAGAGTGAGAGTGAGAGTGAGAGTGAGAGTGAGAGTGAGAGTGAGAGTGAGAGTGAGAGTGAGAGTGAGAGAGAGAGAGAGAGAGAAGAGAGAGAGAAGAGAGAGAGAGAGAGGAGAGAGAGAGAGAGAGAGAGAGAGAGAGAGAGAGAGAGAGAGAGAGAGAGAGAGAGAGAGAGAGAGAGAGAGAGAGAGAGAGAGAGAGAGAGAGCGAGAGCGAGCGGAGTGGGGAGGCAGCAGGGCAAGTCAGCAGGGCGAGGGACAGGAAAGGCCGCGGGGTGAAGACACGGCCTCTCACCTCAGAGATATCGCAAGAGACAGCTGGTGATGGGACAGCAGAGAGAGAGAGAGAGCGAGATTGCGGGGAGGTGGCGGGGTGAGGGGAGACGACAGCCGGATGGTTGTCACATGGGGCCGCGCTAATCGCATCTAATGGCAAGAACATGGATACAATTAGGAATAAGCTACAGTTCCATGAACACACAATATATGGCATGGAAACAGATATCAGACATGACGACAAAGAATAAGGTAGTTACCGCTTGTTTGTCTCTAAGGCTAAGCCCCAGAGCTGATAAAAGCACGATTATATACGGTAAGTCTGAACACAGCTTGTGTGACCGTCTGTACGTTTAAAACCACCCTTCCACCACACTCACGTCTGCCAAGCTCTTCTGAAGTTGTTTCTTCTTCTTCTCCTCGGCCTTGACAGAGTCCTTGATACCTTTGACGGCGGCCAGGGCTTTGGCCTCGACCTTGACGTCCTCCTCGAGCTTTCCCTCCAGCGCCGTCAGCTGACCGCCCGTCTCCTGGAGGGCGCAGGCGAAGTGGAAATCAACAGAGTGAGTGACGTGGAAGAGAGTTGAGGGGATAAAAACGAGATAGTAGAGGGAAAGGATAACACGTTGTAAAATAAAAGTATACTGGTCCAACACAACAGCAGCCGCATGGTCATCGATCTCAGACTGAGAGTATGTCAGAGTGAGTCGGTGTGGGAGACTGAGACACACCGACTGTGTGCACGGTGGTCACATCCGCACCACCCACTATCAACACCATCATCAGCAACCAACACCAAATCACCGTCACCACCACACGTTACCCCGTAATACTCACCGTATCTCTCTGATGTTGCAGCTCGACGATCTGCTCTTCCAGCGTGCCGATGTCGGTGTGACCCTTCTCGATCTGCGCGCGCACCGTGCTGATACCCTCCTGCACCTCCTGCTCGTCTGTGACCGCCTTCTTACACGACTCCTGTGCGATGGACAGAGCGGAGGGAAGGGTCAGAGATGCGCGTAAAGTAGGCGCGTAAGCATTCGATGAATGAGTCCTTCCAGTTAAAAGGTTCTGGCTATTTTATCATATATGTACATGATGATTGGTGTGGTCTGGGCCTTAGGTCCGCCGGTATGCAGATTAAAACGCCATCACTACCCATGCGTAATTGTACAATCGAGACAGAAGAAAGAGCACATTGAGCGAGATTGCCTCATGCCAACAAAGAGAGATTGCCTCATGCCAACGGTCACTCGCTAGGTTGGTTGCGGGCTGGAGCTAATAATTAATGGTCAAAAGTTATTCCATTAGCGCGAAGTTAACGCCAGTAATTCAACGTCACTATTACCAGTGACACGAATGCAAGCTTCCGTTGTGAAATAAGTCATAAAGTAAGGAAAATGGGGAAACGATTTCATCAGCTGTCCTTTTTCAGCATCTCAGCTGACTTTCTGTGACTGTTAGTTTACGACACAGTATGCAAAGGAAAATCCACCGAAATGAGACTGTCTGTTTACCAAGGACGCGTCCCCGAGGAAAACATATGTGGCTAAAATTGCAATGGCATCGGCCGGTTGTTTACTATGTGCCTGCAACTCTAAAGACACAAGAAAAATGGATGTAACGATGAAGAGTGCCGTCCATCAACTTATTTGGCAATAATGGCTTATGCAGTAAATTGGATAGGACTAACCGCCGGTGTCAAAACATCTAATTACCAATAGGTAGGTATCTGCACAATTAACAGCGTCGATAATAGTCACCTCGTCAAGGGCTGACCGGTTTGGGTCATCATTCTCAGATAGCTCCGATGATTAAAAAACCGTCTCACACTTCAGGGTGACAATGTGGGTTTTAGTGAGTCCGAACTAGCAGATACCACCCGGTGTTCATTCCACGCTCACAGTCACTAAAGCTCACAAAATGTAGGTACATATACCACGGCAGCCCTAAACCACACCCACCTGAGCACTGACGAACTTGAAGGCGATGCAGAACTTGCTGAGGTGTTCGTACTCGCGCTCCACCTTCTGGTACTCGAGGTAGGTGGACCGCTCCTCCTTCAGCTTGTTCATTGTTGGATTGATCTCCTCCTCCAGAATCTGGAGCGGTTCGTGGTGACGTCAGCAGGAAAATTGACGTCATCGAAGCTCGAAGTAACGTATCGGCCGTAGAGTAACATTAGGGGCCGAGGGAGCTGCAGCTAAGCACAGCGTTCCGTGCTAGATTTCTGCACCAATGGCGCCACCTGCCCAGCACTTGAGTGAAACATAAGTCAGACACCACCAGGGGCTTCTGCCGTACCATCGAGACACACTTCTACTGTCGTGGTACAAAGACAACACAACTAAGGCTGATATTTGATTGCATAGAAATGTTCACAGACATCGCAGTCACTCTCTTGCCTCACCCAGACAACTGATTTTCACAGTCTACAAGACACTTACATCGTTAATTTCCTTCAGTTTGGCGTCCTTCTTTTCGATGGTCTTCTGCGCCACCTGTTTCTTACACTCGTACAGACGGGTGCCGGCCGCCTCCTCAATCATTGACAGAATCTGGGTAGGATGGATAAATGTTACATCATACATTGCTATGGGGCGGGGTGGGGGGTCGATGAGTGAACAGAGGAAAAGAGGAGAGGAGAGGGCAACGATAAAAAATCGGCGGGCAAGTTCCGTGGTCAGCAGCGCGACAAAAGAAACGGATGGTTAAGAAGACTTTCACCTAAGTTACAGAAGGTTCATATGAGTAGGGGAGAGTGGGGCACTTTCGTGCATGGGGCACATTCGTTTTCAGCAATTTATGGGAACACGAGTGACTGCCCGAGCTCAAGGTAAATTATGAAAATATGTCTATCATTGCCGCTCCTCGTTCACTGTAGAAGACAACACTGTACCTAGCTGTCATGTTTGATAAAAACGCCAAGTTGTGTTATTCGTGCGCTTTCCAAAATGTTCTCATAACATCCATTTTCGTGATCCTGACTCGAAAATGTGGTTCAGCTTTTCAAAATTGGCGGCGAATAAGCTCATTCTATTCACGGAACTGCTGCAAACTTGTCTGTTGAAAAAGTGTCATTTTTTCAACAAGAAGTTTTGAAATATATTACAAATAACGTTGTGGGGCAGGTTCTTGTACGCACTGCCTGGGGCACATTCGTGCATATTTTTTCCGTTTTTGCGATTTATGACTTTATCTGGATTCTGTAGTAGGTTTCACTTATGACGCTCGCCTGACTCAGTCTCGGCTGCTTGCGACGTCGTGACAAGTAATTTACGCGACCTTGGCGAGGTCACGGAGGCGGGTCGGCAGTTGACACATTCTTGTTGGCCTGCCCATTCTTTCTACATTTGCTGTGCAATGCATTCTCATCGAGAGGAATCGTGAAATGGCCACATGCCAATTTCTTTTGGTAAGTTTGTGGTAATACCCGGTAATTTCTCGAACTTTGCAGGGTGCACGGAAGTGCCTCACCCCTTGCACGAAAGTGCCCCATAGCTGGGACAGTTTCGTGCAAACGTTAAGCTATAAAAAGTCATTTTTTCTAATAGAAGCGATAATTTTAGAGGATAACTTTTAAAGGGGAACATATCTGCAATAGTTCCGTTCCAAACTACACTCGACAATTTTGCCATTGCACAAACCGAAGAATAGAAATATGGATTTATCCAATTTTCGCACGAATGTGCCCCACTCTCCCCTTTGCAATGGCCAAAGGAATGAGGATGCATCGGCAGTCTCAAAAAGGAAACATCGCACTAAGTACAGGCCGTATTTCATTCTCCTCTCTCCTTCCACTTCCTCGACCCCCAACTTACCCTACCACTGGCCATCCGAAGCCCCGTTCACTCACCTCAGGCGGCTTCATGTTGAGCACCTTGGTGATGCGGCCCTGCATGATGAGGAAGTGCGGGTTGTTGACGTTCAGCTTCACCGAGCGGAACAGGTCCTGCACCCGGTTGTTCTGCACGTTCACGCCGTTTATAGCATACTTGTTTCTTCCACCGACAACCACCTGGGTCATCATCAATGAGTCAGTTGGCCCGCTCGGGTCGGAGAACACATGTAGATCTCGGACCGCCTACCATAAGTCCCAGCCCACAAGTCAGCGCAGCAACAGATTACGTGGCTGACCCCCAACCCTCAGTTAACCCGCGCCCCAGTGGCGGTCTCGGCCAACTTCGCCCTAGTGAGGGGGGGCATATGTTACCACCCACCTCTAACTCAAAAACTAAGAGGGCTAGAAAGACGCGGTAAAAAGCAGTCGATAGCTCTCAATGCGTACGTTTGAAAGTATTTCGGTCATTTTTCACCTTAGAGCAATATTAGGGTCACCAGAGGTCATCAAAGGTCAAAATTTGCCAATTGTCATTATATTTTTCAGAAAACATGCCGCTATTTCAGGAACTATGGTAGCTAGAAAAACGCATGATAAAACAATCGATAGCTTTTGAACTCTTCTTTTGAAAAGGTCATTATCAGTATTGACTTCAGGTCAACGGTTTAGCCTCCAGAGGGCAAAAACTCCAAAAATAGCTGTTTTTACGAAAAGTGTTTTTCGCCAATAATTTTCTATTACAAAAAGCCATGACATTTCTTTTGCCAGAATCGTGTTCCCCTCACCGAGACGCGTCGAATGAACTATAATTTGACCTTGAAAGGTCAACTTGAAAATTTGACCTCAGGTCAAGGTCATGACCTGACCGGAAAAGGTCATGTTGCATATCAGTCGATGCGTCTCAACAAGACAAACACAATGAGGCCATCCCCAGCGTTCTATCTCTTTCCAATCGCGAGTTATTGGCAAAAAACTGTTTGTAGCCTCAAATGACCTCGGATGACCTTTCTAGAGGCTATCAGCAAAAATGACACCTTGGTCATCACGAGTGGACTAAATTATTGTGATTCTGAAATATTTGGACGGTTCCTATGCGTACACACGGATCTAGAGGCATTTTCATTTTTCTCCATTGACTTGTAATGGAAAGGTCATGCCACTGACCTGACCTTAGGTCACGGATATAAAAAATCCGAGATATACAAATTGTAGACACCCATAACAGCATGCAATCCACCAAGTTTCAAACCTTTCTGACAAACACTGCAGGCTGGACATGATTGCAAACTTTTTTTAAGGCTTGGTCAGTTAACTTGACCTGGTGACCTGACCTGACATGACCTGGGGTCAAAAATTTTACACATTGTCCAGAATTGATGTATCAAAAGCTACCCCAAGCGGCGCGGCGCTACGCGCCGCGGTTTTTTATTCACACGCAAAAAACGTGGCAGGGTGGTAACACATGCCCCCCCCCCCACTGGGGCGAAGGTTAAGGTTCAGCATCGGCTACGGGTCAGCATGGGCCGGACGCGACAGTCGAACTCGAGACAGGAAGAAAAGGGAACAGATTGCGGTCCACAAAAAGAATAGCAGGTCAAACAACGTACGTACGAACAAAACGTGGATAGGAATTGCTCGAAATGCAAAGAGCGCAAGAGTTGCAGAGATGGCGCATTTATTACAGTGGCGCATTTATTGTCCAGTAGGTAACAGCATCATCTCAACTTCCCACGAAAGGTTAGCCGGCGTCTCCCGACCCAGCGATGCCGCACCTGTCTGGTGATTGTGATTTCATCATACTGCTCGTAGCCGAGCGGACTCTCGGCCTTGTCCGTGTTGTCGAATTTGATGGACACGGTGGCCTTTGTGATGCCCGCCTGGCCGTTCTTGTAGACCAGCTCCTGCAGGTTTGTGGCTCGCACCTGCCGCAGCGAGTCATGTGTTAAAGAGGCGGAAGGAGAACGGGTAAGGCGTGGTAGCTCAAGAGACGAGAACAATATACCCAACGGCAACGATAAATGCGCCGTGTGTTGAAACTTAGCTCATTGTTTCTTTCACAAGCTATGCACCACTTAATATGATAAATGGATAAAATCTTTTAATTACGCGAATTACTACGTGACAGAAGACGGCTGTGAAGATGAACTCGAATGTATGCAAGAGATCGCCAAGGTGAAGGAGAGGGACCGGGATACGGTCACGGATATCAAATGATAAGGAGTCACTACTGAGGTGACTGTGCGGCTTTGTTACACCAATGAAACCGATTTATAGTTACTGCTTCCTGTGACAGCGCACACATGGCATATGCAGAAAAGATATAAAAAACGATAGTTCTGCTGAAAGTATGAAAGCACAGTACTTACATGACTAAGATTGGTAATTCCAAGGACGAAACATATGCCGTCAAGAATGTTGGACTTTCCACTACCATTCAGGCCTGTGATGGCATTAAACAGGGGGTCGAACCCTGTAATCTCCGTCCGTTGGCCGTATGACTTGAAGCCATCAATTAGCATGGAAGTCACATACATCTTTGCGGTACTGAAACACACAAAATAATGAGTGAGTGTAACGTTTAAGGATCATTAGCAAAAAAGAGCTTCCTGCCAAGGTGTTGTACATGTGAAGGCCATTGCTAGGCTTTTGTCTATGTAGTGGTGCTGCCCCTTGTTGAGATGGGAAATTGATGACACAAAAAGATGCTGATGCCAAATGACATCTTGGTGCTTTTTCCCTGTTCTGCAACTCAAGGACACAGACATAACATAGACAATATTGTGCTGCACTTGCAGGTTCACCCCTCCACCCGGGGCTGGCTGTACAATTGTACACCATACTGGAAACATCCATACACTATATCAATACCTGTCACCACTCACCAGTCACTGTGAGACTCTCATGCACCAGAAATTTTGCCCTGGAATTTCAGCATGGTTTAAGCCGAAAGTTGGATGCTTATCTGTGCCAAAATTAGACCACTTTTACATCAAGTAGTGACAGGTGGTGACTTTTAAGACCTTTGCCTATCAAATCACACAAGGTGTACACTTCACCCTTATACCGCCTTGACTTCACAAGTTCACCTACATACCAAGGCTATATAAAGCAGATTGAGATTGATCATTTTGGGCCAGAAGTTCCGGAGCCACAAAAATCAGCTTCCGCCTTCCTCCCTCCCTACTTTGACTTTAAACTGCGTCACCTATCCCACATAGCTACATTTATTTCTAACAATTATAATTCAATGTTTTCAATTTTTGACAAATGTTAGCTCAATGACTTCGATATTTGATAATATGAGTGAAAATTCGTAGAACATAAGTTTGAAGTAAGTTCGATTTATTTGTATCAAAATAGATTTAAGAAACATACCTGACAGGTTGGTATAACTGGACGAGTCTACCTGTGACATGAACGTTTAAAGAAACGCCATATTTTCAAAAAATTCCATTTATACACCCGGTCCCATTCATCCGACACAAAACTTTACTTCAACTGCTTGACTTCGCTTGGCGCCAAATATTGAATTTGATGCGCCATAGTCGAGTTCGGCGGGAGCAAATTTGAATGGAATAAGACACGGCTACAAAATAACTATCATGTATGAAAAGCATGAAAGTGGGGTCGTGGATAAATACATTCATTCATTCATGAACAAGGGAATATGATCGATAACTAAGCTAGTCAATCTCTTTTGTAAAACCTATCAGTCAAGGTGTTCAAAAGTGTTTCAAAAGATATTGTTTGTCCCTCGAAAAAGAAGATCAATCTTGGATGAATCATGCACATTGCACTATAGCCCCTAAACTTCTTCCAAGTCCAGTCTATCTGAAAATATCTTGATCCAGTCTATATCTGGGAAATCCCCGGGGAAGGCCAAGGGGGTAGGGCCAGGGCCTAGGAGTAGCGCTTATACACTTTGACTAGAAAAGAACGCGAAAATTCCTGTCCTTGCCTGGGCTGTTCAGATAAGGAGCTGACATTTGAATGCAATGCAATGCCTCCTTGCTGGCATCTCAAGATTTGATCCCAAGATTTGATGAGATCCTGTCAAGTGTCATATCGCAGTTTGCACGCTGTCTTGGCATGCTGTTGGTTGAATCAAGAAATAAGAATGTCAGGTACGTTATCAGGAGCCAGTAGGCTATTTCCTCATTCACCCTGTCATGATGTTCTAGAATCTGTCGAATCTGCTGAATCGATCCCGATCCACTTCCGATCCGAAGGTCCGAGATCCAAACTGATCCAAACCTCCAAACCAAGCGCTGTCAGTATTCGGGATTTGACCATTTTATTTATAGTAGAATATGCGTATTTGAGGTAAGATTATTAATGGGAAAAATATTCTATTATATTCAAAACACACATAGCATCTACCAAAGTAATTTAAAACATTTTATGCATTATTATAACAATATACGTCATTTTATTTGCTCTCGAGATCCAACACACCAGCTCGGATTTACAGGTACCTTGAATAAACTTATATTCCAGTGGGAATGTGGCGCGGTTTTCTCTGCTCTGTTATTGCGTAAGTTCTTAGCCATTGTTCTATATATTTGACATTTCTATTTGCTAATATTTACAATGTATTGAGTGGCCTTTCTTTAAAAGCATGCATTTGTATGTAGGATCGATGGGTAAACTGGTTTTAGCTATATAATACTGCATGTAATAGTGCGCCATAATTGTATTTTCACATTATGTACTGTTTGTTGAATTTGTGCTATTATTTTATACAATGCCATCGAGTATGTGCTAAAAAAGCAATTAAATTTCATAGTTAACCATCATTCAATGTGCCCCTTTTCCCCATAGCAGAGGCATAACGTTTATAGATAATCGTGTTGTTGCTGGGCGTCAGTCTCATCCACATGTAGAGAAGATGGAAATATGTGTACCTAACAGTTATATTCATAAAATACTCATAGTATATGCTATAGAGGAATATACCATAGCATTTATTTGAAATATACCCTTTACCTATTACCTGGGCCCTGGGGGCTGGGAGTGAAATCCTTTTGCACCCTAGGCTAGAAAATGGAATAGAAACCACACTATATTGTCACAAACCATATATAACCTGAAAATTTGGCACAGGATCAATAACTTCTTAAAAGACAGGTGCACTACAAGCAGGAATAACAAAGCATATTTTAACCTGAGCTTACTGAACCTGACCTGACCTGGCCTTGTGTACTAACCTACTATCCAGCACCCTACCAGCCTACAACCTTCATACCTACAACCTACAAACCTACAACCTACTCAGACCTTTTGTGTACTAATACCACCAATTCAATGTGTGGTCAGGTGAAACATATAGGTATGCTTTGTGTAAAAAGTATAGGTATATATCAATGTGTGATCTCACTTTTTAAGCTTAGAGGGATGTGTTCTTTCCTTTCATGCTCTTATTTTTTTCAATTTATCCATTTTTTAGGGGGTGAAAAAATAGGAACTGACCTACCTGGGTAGTAAGGTGAAAGCACATGTAGGTAAATGATATTACTCAGTTGCAGCATTGTAGTTTTGTTTTTGAATTGGATCTTAAATAGCAAAGGTGTACCATTTTGCAGTTTGCACATAATAGTTAAAGGAGCTGACATGACATAAGTATAAAATGTGTCATTGTTATCTGATTTATCAAATCCAGTTTGGGCTTATACAATGCAAGTAAAGCAAGTTTTCACCAAACAATATATTCAGATGCTGACAATATTAGATGAATAGGTGTACCTATATAAGCAATGAGTGCTTAGTAATAGCTCCAGGCTCAAGTATTATTAATTTGGCATGAGGAAAAATTTGGTTATAAGGCTTATGCTTACAACTTATCATCTGTTTGCAGAATGTCAAGATAGTTAAGTAAGTGCTGGTGGCTGCCAGTCTCATCAGATTCTCCTCTGGCTACTCATCAGTCATCACCAATCACCAAGGCCTCTCCTGTATCTCTACTAGTCCTCTGTAGCCGGTCCCGGTCGCGGCCATCCCGGCGCGGCCCGGCGGCGCGATGGCGGACCAGCCGATGACGGAGCTCAGCCTGCCGGAGCCGGCGCCGGCGCTCGACTCGCTAACCGCCGCCGATGACGACAGCCGGCTGAAGAGCGAGATCATCGACGAGCTGTTCGGCGTGCCGGCGCTGGCTGAGCCGGACCCGGAGCCCGAGCCCGAGCCGGACCCGGGGCCGAGCCGCGCCTCGCTGCGCACCTCCCTCGAGGAGGAGGAGGGGTCATCGGGGGAAAACCTCGACAGTGTGGCACTCAACCTGGAGCACGCGCTCTCGGAGGTGTTCGGAGAGGTGGAGGGAGCCACCGGCGGCAGTGGCGGCGGCGGCGCGGACGGTGGTGCGGCTGGTGACGCTACTGGTGCCGCCCAGCCCACCACTGGTGATATAAATGGTCAGCCGGTTAGTAACGGCCAGGTGGAGTCGTCACACCCACCGGAGACTGTGAAGGAGGGACAGCAGCCTCCGCCAGCTCCTGCCGACACCGCAGCGGACGACGATGACATTGTGGTGTTGGATGAGGTGATCCCGGCACCGTCGGCCAGTACCGCCACCAAGCGTCGGCTCCGCGGCCCGGCCAGCAAGAGGAAGGACTTTGCGCGGCTGGGGCCGCCCAGCAGCCGTATGCCGCCTGTAGAGACTCACGGTAAGTGTGGCTATAAATAGGGGAGGTGTGTAAGGGGGAGAGGGTACTTGGTCGAGCCCAGTGGTGTGCCCTTCTAAGTGGGTTCACCGCTCAGGGCTGTTGCGGCATGATCAGTTGTGGTCTGTATCAGTTGATACCTACGGGTTAATGTCATTGGTCAGTGGGCCCAGTGGTTGTTGTCTGAGTAGTTGATAACGTCCTGATTGGTTGACGTCTGTGCTTCTGTAACATCAGGCTGTTGCTAACCACTTGCCTCCTTTTCACAGTGTCCTCAGACTCGGAGATCGAAGTGGAACAAACCTGGACGCCACAGGAAATCAAAATGGTGAGTCCCTCTCGCATTCTGTGAAGATCGTGTGGATACTATCAGCTACACGGTCATTTTTTACAGTTTATCTTTTTTAATAACTCATCAGTGTCACACATCAGCATCTCTATCTCCTGCTTTATTAGGGAACATATACATATTGTTTTCCATAATGAAGGAATGTTCACTTGGTGCCTGGTGGTATTTCGTTTTTGGCTAGATAAGATCCTTTCCACCCATGGATTGACCCTTACACGTGTATTATTTTGTAGTTGAGCCAATAACCCTCTCCCTACGGCCTTAGGTATGTATGTAACTGAATGGAAGTAATGCCCAAGTTAACAAAGTGCCTTGAACATATTCATCTGCCATGTGTCATATCTCAGTGCCCTAATTCCCTGCGTATATATGTAAATAAGGTTCTGATGTCTGTGGAAATATTCAATATTCATCCCTACCCACTCACTGTAAGCTCTGCTTGATGTCCAAAATTTTAATGTTTGTTTTCTGTCAGAACTGTTCAGCGATTTCCTTCAGGTCATTTCTGGCGTTACGTGAGGATCCCTAGCGGTAATTCCAATGTCAATTGGCAATAGCTGCTGGTACTGGTGTAGTCCCGGTTCTGCTGACCTTACTCTACCGCTGCCCGCCGACCCTCCCCTGGCTGGGCGCTGACCCTCCCATGGCTGCCCCGCTGACCCTCCCATGGCTGCCCGCTGACCCTCCCATGGCTGCCCGCTGACCCTCCCATGGCTGCCCGCTGACCCTCCCATGGCTGCCCTGCTAAGTGCTAACCTTCCCCTGCTGGTTCCGCTGACCTTCCCCTTTTGATCTCGTCTACCATTCCCTGCAGATCCCCTAACCCTTTCCCTGCCGGTCACGCCGGGGGTTAGGTTAGTCCAGTGCTGCTGACGTCCACTGCCTGTCCGTTCACTCCTGCAGGTCTGCTGACACCCTTCATCTGTCCGCTGACACTTGTCCCGTGCCGGTCCTCTGACAGTTCCCCCCGTCGCCCTGCTGACTCCCCTTGCCGTTGGTCTGTTTTCATCAGATGCATGAGGCGCGTCGTCTGAAGGTGGGCGTTGATCTGCGGCTGAACAACGTCTGCCAGGAGAGTAGCCAGACGGTGCGGCAGTGGTCGGTTACACTGCAGCAGAGACGGGACGCCCGGAAAAGGTACTGGGAAGAGGTGCGCCGCGGGCCGCCGCGGCGGCCGCCGCCGCCTCCACCGCGCCGCTCCTCGCGGGGCAGGGGCCGCGGCAGGGGACGCGGCAGAGGAGCGGCGCCGCACAGACCGCCGCTGTCCGCCGTGCCGCCCGCGACTGCCGTGAATTTTGCCGCCACCAAGCAGTTAATGAATCTGATTAACCGAGGCGTGCTGCAGATGAACAGTGTTTCCAGTGCACCGACGGTGAACGGTCGGCCAACCGTCACGACGACGGTGGCGGCGCCACGCGGCCGCGGCCGCGGGCGTGGCCGTGGCCGTGGCCGCAGCCCGCAGACGGCAGGGGCGATGGGGCGTGGCCGCGCCATGGTGCAGATACCTGCGAGTAGTCTCCAGCGCGCGTACGGATCGCCGACGGAGCAGGGGCGTACCGCCAGCATCGCCAGCCCGCATCTCGCAGCAAAACCATCGGCGGGAGCCGCCGAGCTGGCCGCCATCCCCGACCTGGGCGAGAAGCAGCGCTCCCAGCTTATGAAGCTCCTCAAGGGCAACAACGGCACGTCGATCTCTGCTGCGCCGGTCGGACCGCCGCGCACTCTCGGCCGGCCGCCGAACCGGCGTCGGGGTGCGCTGCCGCGGCCGGCGCCTCCGCCGATCGCGCCCGCGCCCGCTCCTGCGCCGAAGCCAGACACGCCCCAGACGATTCCGCCCTACTGCTACACGACCAGTGGCAACCCGGACGATCTCTTCTCGGTGTACCTGTCGGCGCCGCAGCAGCCGGAGAACTGCTTCGTCAACATGCAGGTCAACAACCAGTGCCTGAAGGTGCGCCTGCCGCCGCGGCCGGCCGCCACCGGCATGGTGTTTGCCCAGGTAATGCGCAGCACCATGGAGCCCATCTGTGAGGTGATGGTTGACTCGAGCGTCTTCATACCCCCGCCGCCGAGCTGCGAGCAGCCCGGCATACAGACCTCCCGGCCGGGACCCAAGTCGCGCCAGGTGCAACCGGCGCAACATCGAGCACAGCAACAGCTGGCACAGCCTCAGGCACAGCAGCAGCAGAAGGCGCAGCAGGAGCCGGCGGTGAACGCCTACGGCTGCTCCAAGTGCTCGCAGCGCTTCCCGACGTCTGCGATGCTCGAGTACCATTTCTCGGTGTTCCACCAGTCGATATCGGTGGGCGACTCCCGGGACGTGATCCAGTGTCCGATGTGCACTCACTGGAGGGGGCCGGCGCTCCGCCTGCGCACCCACGTGGCCGTGATGCACCACCCGGGCACCAACCGCAACTTCTCGTGCTCGATATGCGGCCGCGCCTGGAACCGACGCGCACCCGGCGCGCACGACCAGTGGCTACGACACATCATGGACCACGCCCAGCCAGCGTCGACAGCGGCGGTTCCGCAGCCGCGCCCGCCGCGTCGTGAGGGAGCGCGCGCTCAGCCGACTGCCTTCAAGCAGTTCCAGTGTCCCCAGTGTAGGGCTGTGTTCCCTGACGTCTCACTGTTCCCCGCGCACTGGCTGAAGGTACACGCTGGCGGCAGCAGTAGTGCCGCGCCTGTGCCCGTGGCCTGTCCGGCCGGAGCGGCGCAGTCGGCACCGGCGCAGCGCAAAAGTGCCGCGCAGGAGTCGCGCTTCGCGGCGCGGTTCGAGTCCAACTCGACCACGGCGACGCCGACGACCTCGACGGCGGCAGCGACACCGTCGGCCGGCGACGAGGGCTCCCTGCGCTGCACGCGCTGCGGTGAGGTGTTTCCCAATGAGCCGGCCTACGCCCAGCACTGGATCAACGCCCACACGCGCGTCAAACTCTCTGCCGAGCAGCAGGCGGCGGCATCGCGGGCGGCCGCCGCTGCCGCCTCCGCCCCCGCCGCCGGCCCTGCCAGCGCTGCCGCTGCGCCCGACTCATCTTCACCCCCACCCCCGCCGGAGCCGACCGAGACGACGGGCAGCGCTCCTGCCCCGTCAGCGGACGGCGAGCAGGCTCCGTCAGCGGACGGCGAGAAGGCTCCGTCAGCGGACGGAGGTCAGGAACCGTCAGCGGCTACTGACGACTCTGTGATGGACGTATCTGAGAACACTGCTCCTACGGGCCCGGCAGGGGAAGTGCTGGACAGTGCTGCCATGGACACGTCTGGGAACGAGCCGCCGGCCGATGTGGCCATGGACGGTGTCTCAGATGAAGGCGCAGTGCCGCCGACCGGTACGGAGAACGGAGCGCTGACCGGCCCTGTGCCACCTCCTCTGGACCCGGCGGACGAGGTGGCGAACCTAGTGCCCTCCGACGCCGACTTCGAGATGAGTGAGGAGACGCTGGACAGGATGCTGGAGCAGATAGTGCCCGTGAAAAATCGAAAGTAGCGCGTCCGTCGGCTGGGCCGTGCGGTGGGGAATGCTGCGATCGGGAAGGAAGTGTGAGCATAACACAAGGCAGTAGTTTATACTGGCCTGATTTTGTAATGTTCTGGTGTTCACTGCAGGGCGGCGCTGGTGTACATACAGGTGGCGCTTCTCCTTGGAGCGAGACCCTATGGAATGAGGCACGGGCTGGAATGGCTCGCTGCTGTACGTAATGAATCACAATTCCCTGTTGATCACCCGCGATAGGTTATGTTCATTCTGTCACATCATCTTGGGAGGGGATATAACGTCCACTCCGTATCGTTGTGAGCCTGGATATTGTGTGCAACGAGTCAGGGGATGACTATGACAGCTGGGACTCCCGCATTATGTCGGGAAGGTATGGTCATGTATTCATTCGCTGCACGGTGTTCCCGTGGCAGGTAAACCCCCCAGCGATTGCCATGCTCGCTTTGTCGACTTTTCACTAGGATGTTGAGGCCATGTTCCGAATCTGATCGGACACTGTGTGGCGGTCTCTCACCATTTTCGATTTGTGTGCCTGGCGCCTGCTCCGTGTATATTTTTGGTATTTAACGTGTTATTTCTGTTATAATAAATGGTAGGACAGCGATGTGTTCATTTCGGTGTGGCAGTCACTGAGCATCTATCTCGAAGTAGTAGGATCATATGGAACTTTCACGGTCAGGTCAGGTGAACAAAGGTTGAGCAATATACGGATTCGGAGGATATCTTTACTTTCTTGAATTTCTCGGAACTCGGAAACACTATTCGTTGTGTCATTGCCAGGCGATAACGACATGTGTAATCGAATATGTTAATGAGATCACGGTAATAAGACGACCTATCAAATGGGTACAATAATAGCACGCTTCATTTGCGGCTTAGCTTACTAAGTAGGCACGTAATACCTACCTACTAATGGACGTCAAACCCCTTGAGACCCCACTTTTTTGCGATAATTTTTAAATGCGTCAACTCTCGTTGACAATATTCTGGCAATGTGTGTTTCAGAACCTGCCGAAACTTTTATTACTAAGGTATTTTGACGCCAAACGATTATTAAAGGTACTTCTCATTCACTCGTAATGTTAAATTTCACGGAACGAATCTGCTGTTTGGGTAGAGGCTACGCGCTCATGGGGCGGAGCCACGTAATGACGTCAGCGCTAAGCTCCGCCCTACCCCTCCGGCGCCCCTTGCTCGGCGACCGGTCACTCGCGTCTCTCGCTCCATTCAGGCTTGATGGTGGGCGGTAGCTGGTAGCGGTAGCGGGCGCTGGTAGATGGCATTTAGAGTAGATGGCGCTGGTGGCGGGGCTCGAGTGTGGCCGAGCGGGGTTACGGACAAAAGTACGTATCGCTAAAGTACGTAGGACAAAAGTACGTAAGCAAAAGTACGTAGGATTAAAGTACGTATCGCAGAAGTACGTACAGTATAAAGTACGTATGGACAAAAGTACGTCAGGGACAAAAGTACGTATCGTAGAAGTACGTACAATATAAAGTACGTATGGACAAAAGTACGTCAAGGACAAAAGTACGTATCGCAGAAGTACGTACAGTATAAAGTACGTATGGACAAAAGTACATCTGGGACAAAAGTACGTATCGCAGAAGTACGTACCTACTGTATAAAGTACGTATGGACAAAAGTACGTCAGGGACAAAAGTACGTATCGCAGAAGTACGTAGGGTATAAAGTACGTATGGACAAAAGTACGTCACGGACAAAAGTACGTATAGCTAATGTACGTAGGGTAAAAAGTACGTATAATGGACAAAAGTACGTCACGGACAAAAGTACGTATCGCAGAAGTACGTAGGGTATAAAGTACGTATGGACAAAAATACGTCACGTACAAAAGCCTACGTATAGCAAATGTACGTAGGGTATAAAGTAGCCTTGGGCAAGACGCCCCAGATAATTTATTTTGCTACATAGGTACCTACTTTTGTCTCACATCACCTGGAAGGCCAAATTTGTGCTCAATGTGTTCTTTGGACATTTTACTCTAAATTCCATCCCTCAAATTCATTCACTTATGATCGGACTTCCAGCTAGGAAGTGCTTTGTGAAGCAACTGCAAATGGGACATTTTGCCCCAACCTCAGGGCAAAACGCCCCACGGCCTGAGGCAAGAAGCCCCATACACTAGATTAGCCCTCGCGGGCCCGGGGGGAGCGTTTTTCGCCCCCCCCCCTTCCTGGCGAATATTTGCGATAGCTCCCGAACGCTTAGGGATAGGAAAGCAAAACTTTCAGTACCTTTTCTCCCATCAATTTGACATCATCTGAAGTAAAAAATTTGGACCTAGCCCCATTGATGCCGTCACAAAGTCGATTTTTCTAGACCCCTGCACGGCAAACTTCGGTGTCACAGACGCGAACTTCAAATAGCTGCTAAAAATAGAGTTTTAAAGATAAAGACAAATTACAAGCACGGTTGTGTAGCATTTGACCTAGACAAAAATACAAAAATAGTTTTAGTGACCTGAGATCAGAGGTCAGGTCAACGACCCCGAGCTGTGGTTTTAGTTTTTCGCAAATAACTTCGACAAAAAAGGTCCTAGAGCTACGGCAGTGTTATCATCGCATTTGTCTTGTCAAGCCGCGTCGAATGATATATATATATTTTGTTTGGAAAAAGGCAAGTTTTATGTTGACCTCATGTGACCTCGAATGACTTTTGGTTGACCTTGACATATCAAAAGTCGTTTATGATGGATTCGTACCCGCTGATCACGAATCTGGCATCTATTTTCCTCTAAGCCTTTATTTAGAGCCTCCGGATGGCAAAATTGTCTTATTTATTATTACTAACTTGAATCAGTGAAATAGCCTCTAGCAAGGACTCTCTTCTGTGACCTTGACCTTTGAGCAGCCTTGTATCGTAAGATGAACCACAAATAGGGACCTGATAAGCCTCAAAACATTTCAAAACATCTTGGAAGTTGACACACAAGATGTACGAAAAAGTGTAAGTTTGAGGTCAATTTTGAGCATGACCTTGACCTTGACCTTTGATGTTGAGCACATTTTCGGAATTCTCAGATTCTCTTCTTTCGTTTGACACCCAATGTTACCGGTTTTATGCATCCTGCCGTCCTCTAGTACGCTCACTTTGAGATCACTACACATGTGCCGGTTTTTGCCTTTGACCTTGACCTCTGACCTTGAAAATTGGCCTGAGGTCAAAAAATTTAGGTGCTTTAGAAGCGTCTCGTAAGGACCTTTCGTTTGGTATCGCCTTTGTTTGCGTAGCTCTCTTATTTACGGAGTTAGACAGGGGGGCGAAAAACGCCCCTCCCCGGGCTGCGGTGGTTGGAATTACCCTCCGGGCCCGGCCGGGTTAACAGAAGGGAGAACCCTGCCAGTTCCGAGAAACATCGGTGAGGCTGTTTACCTCGGCGGGGCGACTTGCCCCGGTCTACCCTACGTGTGGACAAAAGTACGTCACGGACAAAAGTACGTATAGCAAATGTACGTAGGGTATTAAGTACGTACCCCACCCTTGGGTTAAGTTGATCAATGTGTAATACCTTTCTTATTCTTTTTTTTTTAATGAGCATTTGTTACAAGGCATAGCAAAATTTATCGATGAGTAAATGGGCGAAATGGACAAAGCTATATTATTTGGTATATGAATTTATCATGAGTTCCCTGTAGTATGGCAACAGAGCAGCAATAAAGAAAAAGTGGCTCAACTTACACTACTATACCCTACTTCTAGCATACGTAGGTACTTTATACACTACGTACTTTGGCATACGAACCGTACGTACTTTTGGCATACGTACTTTTTACACTGCGTACTTTTGCATACGAACTTTTGCGTACGAACATTTGCGTACGTACTTTTGGCATACGTACTGTATACACTACGTACTTTTGCATACGTACTTTTGCGTACGAACATTTGCGTACGTACTTTTGGCATACGTACTTTATACACTACGTACTTTTGCATAAGAACTTTTGCGTACGAACATTTGCGTACGTACTTTTGTCATACGTACATTTTACACTACGTACTTTTGCATACGTACTTTTGCGTACGAACATTTGCGTACGTACTTTTGGCATACGCACTTTATGCACTACGTACTTTTTCATACGTACTTTTGCGTACGAACATTTGCGTACGTACTTTTGACATACGTACTTTATACACTACGTACTTTTGCATACGTACTTTTGCGTACGAACATTTGCGTACGTACTTTTGGCATACGAACTTTATCGCCTACGTATATTTGCGTACGAACATTTGCATACGTACTTTCGTCCTACGTACTTTAGCGATGCGTACTTTAGTCCTAAAATCAAAGACGGTACAGGAACCATCTAACCATCTAATGGTATAGAAAGAAAACATATGGCAACTCGCGACACACGCCTTCGAAGCAGAATTGTTCAAATTAAAGCAGAATTGTAAACACCAGAATCGATGTTACATTTAAGACACTCCAACAAATCCACCACAGTGACCAGCAGGTACTATGAACGTCAAACCCCTTGAGACCCCACTTTTTTGCGATAATTTTTAAATGCGTCAACTTTCGTTGACAATATTCTGGCAATGTATGTTTCAGAACCTGCCGAAACTTTTATTACTAAGGTATTTTGACGCCAAACGATTATGGAAGGCACTTCTCATTCACTCGTAATGTTAAGGTCAATTCAGGCCCGGGCAGAGGCTTGCGCTCACCGTCTTTATACCCATTGACTTGTGATGGGCAGGTGACAGGTCAAGAAGTTGATCTGATTTTAGGTCGTCGACAGGAAAAATCTGAGGTAAACATCAACCCTCGCGCGTATAGGGGGGGAGGGGGGTCGAATGGACCCCCCTCCCGGTTTTTCGCGAATAACTCGCGTAAAAAGCGGCCGATCGCGACGAAACTTTCAGTACCCTGGCGTCAATTAATTTTACACCTACCCTGAAAATTTAATGGCCCTGGCCCTAATTACCTATGACCTACTTTTCGAGACCATGTTTGGCCGGATTCGCGATTCGGCGTATGTCGGCTCGCATTAGCCGCGCGTTTGCAGTCTTTTCGTGGTTTCAAGCGTTTAAACATGGAATACGATGTCGCTCCCATACATTAGGGAGGGTGCCAAGGTCACCTGAAGGTCAGGTCAGGTCATTGGCTTATGATGACATCGGTAAACTTTTTCGAGCTTTACATGTTTCTATGCTAGTTTTTGGAGCTGGATTCGAATTTGGCAACCACTTGAACATTTACGAAGTAGTTTTGGTGCCTTCGTAACACGTTACGAAGCTGTCAGAGGCGGTATACATCTTCAACGAATACCCGGCAAAACCGCTACTGGTTGACTTGACCTGACCTGACACGACCTGGCCTAAATGTTTGAAGACATCTCAATCTGTGATCAAAACTAACATGATATTCATGATCAACAACCCGAAAAGACCATGGCAGCCACACTTTACGACGTCCTAACAGATCCCGATTCTCCTAACTTTTGGGTCATTGACCTGACCTGGAAGGTCAACCAATGACCTAGGAACTTATGCTTGGGTACCATCGGCTTCCTCTCGTCACGGGCAACACGCACGTTTTTTTTCCGCGAAGCTCTAGCTCAATCAGGG